GGAAGCTATTAAACCAAGAGTTCCAAATGGTGAAGTTGAAATCATCCCTTCGTAAATTTTACGGACGCCATCACGAGTTTGTTGACCGTTATGGAATAACCGTTTCACAGATGATATCGGATATGTTCCTTATGTCGTAACTACAATACCCTTCCCTTTTCACGAATGTGACTTACCGAATTAGACTATTTACCGGTTTTGTAATAACATAAGCAACACAACGGGTGCCACATGTGGAGCAGGATCTGCTTACCCTTCCGGAGCACCTGAGATCACCCCCAGTTTTTGGTGGGGTTCGTGTTGCTTAGTCTTTAGTTTTCTATGTTGTGTCATCTGTACTATTATTTGTCTGTTTGTCTTTTTATTTTTGGCCATGGCGTTGTCAGTTTGTTTTCGATCTATGAGTTTGACTGTCCCTCCCAGAGTTATAGCAAACATTAAACGGGAATCTCATCAAAACCAGGAGCTTTTCAGCTTTTAGAAGACAGTAGAGCGTTCAAAACTTCTTCAACTGAAATTTTACAGTCAAACAGATCATCAAGTATAGATTGAATTTTTAAGACATAATCATAATTATTACAATTTCTATTAAACATATTAGAAAACTCAGATTTCCATTTATATAATATATCATTTTTATTACACGAAATAAACCCATCACTAAGTTTCACCTCCATAGGAATACCACTTTGACGCTCGTTTCCATCACCAATTCTACCAATCTTTCTCCAAAATTCCTTAGGATTTTTACAAGAATTATCCAAATCTTCTTGAAACAATGACGTTTTGATCTTTGCACAGCTTTATAAAATATTTTCCGTTTATTTATAAAATAATTGCGGAACTCTTAATTTCTTTTGATTTAGATTTTTACATTTTAACCACATTTATTCAGAATTACACACTTCATTCCAGAGAACTGTTAAATTATCATTCCACCATGGTTTCCTACACTTTCTCTTTTTATTACTAACTCCATCATGTATACAGATCGTTTTAGATGGGCGTTTTGACGACATTTCGTTTTTTATAACGCTCACGAAATCTTCGTACACACGGTCAATGTTGTCTCGAGTGGCCTCAAAAGATTCCAAGCGCTGAATAAGCTCATTAATTTCAGAAATAACAGAATTAGTTAGAAGCCAATCATCGGGTAGATTGCGTGTATCGTATTTGGTTGTTTTACGTACATTTTGAGTTATATTGTTTGTTTCGATTCCAGAACTAAAATTCAACGAGAAGTCCCATGACAGAAAGGAGTGATCCGGAACGATTCTGGTCAGATCGTATTTACCGATGGCACAAGTTTCATTGATCATTAAACTTGTTCTAGCTACTTTGAAATTATCTAAACAATCAAGCATTTCGTATGGTACCACACAATAATCTACGACGCTACTACCAGGTGAAGATACAAATGTAAAGTCGTTTTAAACTGTTTACGTCCATTTAGAATACAACAATTTACGTCAGTTAAGATATCACAAAAATACTACCATAACTGTTATGATGAAAGTCAATTACATGTCTTTCGGGTAAACTGTCTATTCCGGCAATCGAATCTGACAAATCAGAACCTCTACTATTCCAATCGCCACAAAAGAAGACCCTTGAGGAAGGGTGTAGATTTTTGACATTAAGGTTTCAAAAAATTCGTTCACGTTTACTGCATGTGTGGAGTTTTCTGGTGGCAAATATACCACACAAACACAGAAAGCGTTCTCTGAACAGTTTTATCCTCCAACCTCACCCACAATATTCCATCTGTATCATTGTCAATTATTTCAACATCAAATTGACCTCTAATATCATTTCGTATTAAAAGTCCGACCCCACCAGAACCAGTTTTCGCACGCACGTGAATGTTTTTTACGATTAAAATATATATGTAATAACAATAACTATGAGCCCATGCCTTATTAACTTAATATCATTTATTAGGTTATGTAGTCTTTGAGTAACACGTAACGTACAGTAACGAAGCAATGCTTTCTTAAACCAACAGAACTATTTGAATAAAAATGAATAAAAACGACAGTCGGTGCACGACTTAGATAACATGTAATAGCTATCCCCCGGATAACAACAATTATTCTGCAATGAAAAATGTAGAAACTGTCAAAATATGTTCAAAATAGTAGATAATCTATTAGGCTAATGATCAATTAGCTTAAACAAAATTTAGTCGACATGTAACATTGAGCAAAACAAATAGTGATTTCAGTTAAATCTACTATTATGCAACAACAAAAGAAACACTCGACAATGAACACAGATACTTAGTTTAGTGATGTGGAAGAAATGATGAAAATTGTTGAAAGCAAACTTTGTATGAGCATGGCGTGAAAATATGCACATCTTTACTTACAGAGTCTAATATTGACAGGAAAGAATGTCGTAATATTAACTCTCTTTCTTCTTATCGTTTTTGTTCGATTTTGAATTACTGTCTTGTTGATTTTCAAGGTGTTTTGGTGATCTGTTATGTTCGGACCTATCTAATTCATATCTCTGACTGTTTTTATCTAATTTTGGTTTCACAACTGTTCCCTTGATACATTACAACTTTCATATTGCACAGCTCATTGAATTACTGTTTGTGATTAGTGCATTTCACATTAGTGTTATACATGGCCTGAAAAAAGTACAGGATATCTAGGGACAATAAAAATCACAAATCAGAAGACAACAATATCAAATAGACGATAAACATTACTTTTTTCACCGTTTGACGGTTTTAAAGATTTTAAACAAAATGTGTGGTATTTCTTTTTGGAACAAGTGATTCCTATTTTATCCTTTAGATTTTCAAATTTTCGTATTGTTTCTTTTACATTTTGATCAAAGACATCGATGTTCAGTTTGAATTCTCGAACTGAGTAACACTTGGGTATTTTTGTCATAGATATTAGAGCTATGACGTCATCATTAGTTATTTTGGTCAAAGATTTTTAAATATATAACTATTGTGACAGTGAAACGATTTTCTATTTTGTGAATGAACGATACATTGTCTTTTTGGTATTTACAGCTTAGATCTCTCCTAAATGAACAATTCTTTCGATGAAACATAGGTCGTTTTGACAGATATTTGAAAAAAATTGTTGTAAGGGCAAACGATACAGTTTTGATCACACAATTCAAATATGGAACAAGATATATATCTGTATGTGCCACTTTTAGAGAAAAATGGGTCGAAATTTTAGACATTTACTTCAATTTTTTGTTTCTTAAGACACTTCTATTCATTGGAAAGGCATGTCTTACTTTTTTCTTTCAAAAGGAAAACAGGAGCGGATTTTTGTAAAAAAAAAATTGGAATATCTTCTTAAAGCCCCCATCACATTAGACCAAGACCATGAAGATCCCACTATGATCTATAAAAGAATAACATCGCGGTGAGATCGTGGTATAGTCGGCTTGAATATTCAATATTTCATAGTTTTTCCCGTTCATAACACGACCTTGCTATGATCCTGATAAGATCCTTTTACGATTCCGCTACGACAGTAACACGTTATAGTTAGGATCTTTTCACGCTCTTGTTGCGTCTAATACGACCTTAGCACGACTTACACGATCTCTGTACGCTTCTATCAAGACCTTGCCGATCGCCTTACGATCTCAATACGAGTCTACTATGATCGAACCACGACTCCACTACGTTTCCACTACGTTGTCACTACGCATTTCGTCCCTACAATAATCTTGACTTTCCATTGTTCTCACCAGTTTCCATGAGTAAACATGCCACTTAAGGTACCAAAAACACTTAGAGGTCGTTGTGTTAAAAGTAGAGGTATCAACAGAATGAGGTCGTGCAATTATCATGGCTAGGACGTAGTAGAATCGTAGTGAGGTCGTACTGAGGACGACAAGCGCGTAGTAGCAGCGTATTATTTGTCTTCCTCATCGTAGTATAATCGTATCAATATCGGAGTAGAAGCGTAATAAAGACGCAGTGAAATAGGAATAGTCGCAGTGAAATCGTAGTAAGGTCGCAGCGAAATATTTTCCATTGGCTTCCCCGATTTCACCACGTTTCCAATACGATGCTTCTACGCCCATCCCGATCTTACTACATCCTTAATACGACCTTCCTACGTTTCTACTACGACTAGTTTTGGCCACGACTGCACTACGTGACGAATGTTTTAATCATGTTCAAAGTTGATCGTGGACCTCCACGATCATGAAGACTTGGCACGTCCTTACTACGACCTTACTACGACCACAACGATCTTACTACGACTTCCAAATTTTTTCATAATTTCTGAGGTCGTAGCGGGATCGTGGTCCTAGTGTGATGGGGTATTACATGCGAGTGCTCTAAATTTGTATAACAATTCTTTGAAACAATTCAGTTTTTTAAATTTTCATGATTTTAGAAAAAAACGGCACGTATATTTGTATATTTATCTAATTTAAAACAAAACGGTGATTTGTTCATTAACATTGGTACAAATAATCCTCATACATAATTAAGCCAAAAGAGGTTCCATGTACTCGTTTTCGAGCCAATGAGCGAAATCAGGCAAAAGACCATCTTTTCCCGAAATGCTACAGTGTTACGTCAGCAACATCATTACCTTCCCTGTTACTGTATCGTATGCCCTTATTGTTTTCAAAGGCCCTTATTGTTTTCAAAAGTGTGTAAAATTTCTTTCTTGGACTAAAGAAGTGTATCTGATCTTTTTCAAAGTCATTCTAATTTTACTCTTTTTTTTCTCATTTGTTAGCTATAAATTTTTATAGAAAATTTGTGCATTTTTTACATGAAAAGAGACACAAAACAAATATACAAAAAAAAACCCAATAATTTTCACTAGGTAAGGGTATTTTTTATTGTCTATCGGTAAACAATTGATTATTTGTTTATTTTACGGATAACTACTCTTTTGCTTTTTGAACTATTGTCTTAGATAAATACCTTTACATTCAGGTGACATATAACATGAACAAAAACTTCTAGTTTTACATTTATTCAAATCAGTGTGTGTGAACCGGCACTATTTTTTAATCAACAATTGTTTTGGCATGATCGGTCACCAAGACAAATTGGTACAATGGGACTTGTAAAACTGACAATTACAATTTCATTTTGGATATTTATTGTAAACGGTATGTACAATTCAAAATGCTACATAAAAAATAATTTTAAAAAAATGATTCATAAATATTTACAACATGAGATTATGCTTATTCATTTATCGATTGGTATTATAGAATTGAAGCACAATTTGGTTAATATTTTCATGTCGGGGCCTCTTATAGCCGACTATACGGTATGGTTTTTTCTCATTGTTGAAGGCCGAACGGTTGCCTATAATTGCTTACATCTACTTCATTTGAACTCTAGTGGATAGTTGTCTCATTGGCTATCAAAGAACATCTCCTTATTTTTATATTTAATTAAAATTCAAACAATAACCGAAAGAAAATTTCATAAATCGTGATGATCAAACTTGTTTATTTTATAAATGTTTATTTTCTTTGTAAAAGTCATTAAACTAAAGTATTACTTATAATTTAAGGGTCTTGTCCTTTTGAATACTACAAGTGTTCTGAGTTCCTTGATTGGTGTTGTCCTGATGGCTATACATGTACTGGTAATAACTCATGTGACAAAAACTCGACATACCCAACCTCATCATCAGGAGGGTAAGTAAACTCTAATCTTTCTGCAAATGTATTTTTTTTTTAAATTATCAATTTTAAAGATGAGACAAAAATGAAAAAAAAGACATATATTCTTTGTATAAAATCGTTCAATAGACAAATGAGCAATAATCCTCACCCTTATCACCAGTAGTATTAACAACACACACACACACACAAACGCATCATTATCATCAACATCATCATCATCATCATCATCATTACCATTATAAAGTCATAGGTTCTTTTACACGGGGTTGCAGACATACAAAAATGGCAACTGGAAGTGACCTTGAGTACACCCGAAGTAGCTATTTTTGCATTATTTTTAAACCGTCAATGGCTTCTTATCAATCATATAGAAATTCAATGGTGGAAAGACTTATAATCTATATTTTAACTGCTAAATTTAAAAATCATAACAATATATACTTGTCATCGGTTTAATCCGAATTGAAATTATATTTATTACTAGGGCCATTGTTGGTGGCATTTTAGGTAGCATAGTTTTGATAGCAGTCGTGAGCGGTTGTCTCTCTGCGGCTGTGAAATGTAAGTTTTGCATTTTTCAAAAGTTTTAATAGCTTGTGCGTTGTTCAAAACACAATAGCTCATAATATTAACATTGTATGTGAATGAGTTATATGTAATTATTAAACTCATGTCATTTTTATCGAGACATAGCGATCCTACATTCCGTCGTCGGCGTCGTCGGCGGCGTCCACAAATATTCACACTGTGGTTAAGTTTTTGAAATTTTTATAACTTTCTTAAACTATCCTGGATTTCTACCAAACTTGGACAGAAGCTTGTTTATAATCATAAGATAGTATCCAGAAGTAAATTTTGTAAAAAAAGAATCCAGTTCATTATTTTTATAATTTTATAATTGCATCTTCTATTTACATAAAATTGAGAATGGAAATGGGGAATGTGTCAAAGAGACAACAACCCGACCACAGAACAGACAACAGCAGAAGGCCACCAACAGGTCTTCAATGCAGCGAGAAATTCCCGCACCCGGAGGCGTCCTTCAGCTGGCCCCTAAACAAATATATATACTAGTTCAGTGATAATGAACGCCATACTAAACTCCAAATTGTACACAAGAAACTAAAATTAAAAATAATACAAGACTAACAAAGGCTAGAGGCTCCTGACTTGGGACAGGCGCAAAAATGCGGCGGGGTTAAACATGTTTATGAGATCTCAACCCTCCCCCTATACCTCTAGCCAATGTAGAAAAGTAAACGCATAACAATACGCACATTAAAATTCAGTTCAAGAGAAGTCCGAGTCTGATGTCAGAAGATGTAACCAAAGAAAATAAACAAAATGACAATAATACATAAATAACAACAGACTACTAGCAGTTAACTGACATGCCAGCTCCAGACTTCAATTAAACTGATTGAAAGATTATGTCTTCATCATATGAATATCAGGCACAATCCTTCCCGTTAGGGGTTTAGTATCATACCATCATAACATATATGAGAAGAACATAACCCGTGTCATGCCAACAACTGGTTTTTAAATAAATGTGTTTAGTGCAGATGCAAAGACCCTATAAGTGAATCAATATCAACGCCAAAATATGCAATCTTTAATGACCTGACAACAGTATCGTAACTATATCCCTTCTTAATAAGTCTATTTAAAGGTTTTGTTAGTTTCAGAGGTGAATACTGACATTTTTGTGCTTTATAAAGAATATTTCCATAAAAAATTGGATGTGAAATACCTGAACGTATAACATGCATTTTTATTGATGAATTAAGGGATAAATCATCAAGCAATGTAAAAATTATCTTCTTTATCATTTGTTCACTCAATAAATTTATGTTTCAACTCTTTTATAAATCTATAGATTTGATTGCATACTGTATTCATTTTTTACAAGCATAACTTTTTTCATACATTTCAAACGTTTTATTTCATTAACTGTAAATCTATCATGTGCATTCCCCTATCACACTTAAAACATAGACAACAGCAAAAGTAGGCGAGACACTGGGTTCCGCGGAACCCTTACGAATATTTACTTGTATATCATTTTTTTTTAATTTTAAAACAAATCTGAGTAAGAACAGAATTAACAGTAAATATAGAATGGTCACATACAGTTGAGGCTTCTAAAAGGCCAAATCGTTTTGGAAAATTTAATATCATTTATTAGGTTATGTAGTCTTTGAGTAAAAAGTAACAAGAGAGAAAGTCCTAAAATAAAATACAATATTATCAAAGCAAGGTGAGTATGGTGTTTTCGAACGACGAGCTTAAAGAAACCTCATACAGTAACGAAGCAATGCTTTCTTAAACCAACAGAACTATTTGAATAAAAATGAATAAAAACGACAGTCGGTGCACGACTTAGATAACATGCAATAGCTATCCCCCGGATAACAACAATTATTCTGCAATGAAAAATGTAGAAACTGTCAAAATATGTTCAAAATAGTAGATAATCTATTAAGCTAATGATCAATTAGCTTAAACAAAATTTAGTCGACATGCAACATTGGGCAAAACAAATAGTGATTTCAGTTAAATCTATTATTATGCAACAACAAAAGAAACACTCGACAATGAACACAGAGACTTAGTTCCAGTGATGTGGAAGAAATGATGAAAACTGTTGAAAGCAAACTTTGTATGAGAATGGCGTGAAAATATGCATATAGATAGATATAAGAAGATGTGGTATGAGTGCCAATGAGACAACTCTCCATCCAAGTATATATCTTTACTTACAGAGTCTAATATTGACAGGAAAGAATGTCGTAATATGAACTCTCTTTCTTCTTTCTATTTGGTGTAGAAAATGACATGTTGATAATAAGATTCATTAATAAGGTTCTATTAAGTATCGTTTTAAACTTTTTAAGCGTAACTAACTCTTTACAACGACGTTTAACCTAAATTAATACTCCAGGGAAGCTTTAGTGCTTGTACCAACTAACAAAGCATGCAACATTTATGTTCAGTACTATACTAAGATATTCCAAACTGAGATGACATATAGGGCGTCAAATTATAACAAGTATTCTCCAGCTCTTATAAGCATCCTTATTTACACTTCAAGCAGTTCTGTTCTTCTGACTATTGCTCATACAACTGCCACAAATATCGTGATAAATCGTATAATGCTATCAGGTGTTTCTGTAGTGTAAACATTTCCTTCAAACTCGTTGATGAGCTACATTCTATTGGGTTTCAATTTGTCTCTAAAGTATTTCTTGTTAAATCCCAATACTGTTCTTCAAATAATCTTACCAAACAAAGAAGATTGTGTTAGGAACACAACAAATATATGTGTTACGACATCTGCTTTAGTCTTTTTTAGAAACAACAATTACAAAAATACACTTATTTGACAAGCTAGAAAATTATTAAAGCCATTAGTTTTTTACTCGATAAAATACACTGTCGTCTTTGAGACAAAGGATTTCATCAACTGTTTGATATTCCTAAGTGGATTTATTGTTCAGCTCGTATCCTTATTTGTTTCATAAGTGTAAATCGCACAGTCATGTATTATAAATACCTATTAAGATAAGAATAAATGTAATTTTTTATTATAATATCCAGTAATATTTATTCCAGCAAACCATGGAACGTTTCGCAGTGTAGTAGTTCCACGAAGAAACCTAGTCGGCGGAAACCATAACCAAGGAACAACTACCAAGCTAGATAACGTTACACAGAAAAAAGCCGCTAATTAATACAAAAAACTCTACCGGCTTCTAACCAACTTGTATAAACTATGTGTATCATCACAAATTAAATCTAAACGTACTTAGGGGGTTTGCTCATTGTTGAAGGCCATACAGTGACATATAGTTGTTAACTTATATGTTATTTGGTCTCTGTCTCATTGGCAATCATACCACATCTTCTTATTTTTATATTTGTCTCGTGATTTATATGAATCTGATCTTTTCTTAACTTGTTATTTTAATTTTTGATTGCAAAGACATTCTTTAAAGAAATAGAAATCAACCAAACAAGGGAATGTTAATAAATAACATTGGATTTTTTTCGAGAGTAGGGGTATTGTTCTTTTTTGTGCGAAGGCGGTGAGTTGTATGACTATTTTATCTTTTTATTTTGTTTTATTTTCCTATACCATACAGTCAATACTATGTTTAAATTTGTTTCTTCTTTTATCTTATTTTTAATTGATTTACCTTTTTTTTTTAAGAAATGATCTTTAGTATTAAAAAAGGCCCGGAAAATATCAAAAGGACAATCAAATTTCGTAAGTCAAAGAGAAACCGATAACATCATGGCAAAAAATGAAAAACGACGAAAAAACAAAATTCCAATATAACTTTTATTTGTTATCGGTGGATATGCTTTCGGTTTACTTTGAATGTATACAAAAGCCCTTAAATATAGAACTATCGACAGCACTTTTACCAAAAAGTTAGCCTCTCCATTTTCACCTTAGAGAAGGTAGCACCGATAATGGACTTCCAATCGATCATATAGCACATTTAAGGTCATACTGGGGAAAACAATTCAAACATTTTGTGATTCTAAAGTGTTTTAAGCAGTTTATTATGAAATATATTAATATTCAAAAATTAGAGAGAGAAAAAAAAGATTTCTGACTACATCTTTACGACTTCAAAATTTGTTTCGCCTACGCTTGCTTTCAAAAGGTGTCTGATGTGTTCTACATTTGATATACCACGAATGTCATTTGGTGTATTGAGAAAAATAATCGTGATGGAATAAGTAACGGCGGTCAAGTATTGCGATCGTTAAAGTTCTATTTTCGGATCGTGAATGTCATTTAATATTGTTTAACTTCAGTATCTGAGAACAAAATCCGGTCTATTATCAAAATGAATAACTAATCTGAAAAAAACAAAGGTGTCTTTCAAAATGATTGTTATGCCCCCGCTCAAAAGCAGAGGTATACTAGTATGCTTCCGTCCGAGTTTCCATCTGTCTCAGGATCCACAATGCACAGTTTACTGTTTGGCGTCACAATGTATGTGATCAGGCGTCACAATGTATGTGATCAGGCGTCACAATGTATGTGATCAGGCATCACAATGTATGTGATCAGGCGTCACAATGTATGTGATCATGCTATATTATGTGATGTGGTTTCAGATTCATGAATCATCATGAATACTTAATGTATTCTTTAACATAATGGTCGTGTATGAAGTGTTAGTCAGGTATTATAGATTAGGGTTTTCTGAAATTTGGAATCAACCTTCGTGCGAGCATGCTATGCCGTGTGATGAGCTTTTACATCCACCACTCATCAACCAAATTACCAAGAGTACCAAATACTAATAGCGGGGTATAATTAGTGAACAATCGCTTATAGTTCAACTTGTCATTCCTCAATAACATATATCTTTATTCTCAATTAACCATCATTTTAACAAGGTATAAACTCTCAAAACTTCCTTGGCAAAAAAATGTTTCGACTCAATATTATCTAATTTCGGGACGGGCCACCAAAAGGTTGGATTTGTGTTTGCTCATTTCGTAATCGTATGAAATTGTAGAATATAAATGCACATATTACTAGTGTCGATTGTGAAACGTAACATTTTCTACAACAGTTCTATATTAATGGAGAAAGAGATAAAAATGCACGACAAAAAAAATACCATCATGACCCTTACCTCGAATTTGCCTTAATTTTTCATTAAATTTTACGGAGAGAAACATACAGAGGGAATGATATACGCTTGGAATTGAATGATAATTTACTTTTTGCACCTCAATATTTGTATTTCTGAGCATAGAACGAAAGAAATGGGGCAAGTAAAAAATGTAAGGATCCGGTTTTTTATTTCACAAAATAGGAAACGGTTTCGTCATAGATAAATATGTAAACTAGTATTATCTTACCTCCTATACATTTCTAGGAATATCATTGGTTAAAAGCGACCGCGTGGAGACCGTGTATATTTAATATGGGGTAAGTATGTGTGGTTTATTTTAATACACGGTTAGTAGTGGTGCTACGTCCCTTTATAAAAACAACACGGCGTTCAGGAATAATCTGACACGTTTCGCCCGGACAACAGATGAAGAAATTGATGATGAACGATTGAAATAAACCAGAAAAAACATTAAAAGCTAACAAGTTGTTATTGTTGGCATTTGTTTTTGTATAGACCAATGGAAGTAGATTCTTTATATTGAAGACTTAATCACTTTGATAGGACACTTACGGAAGCCGGTTAGTGTCAGGGTGTAGTTTAATTTTTAAGTCGTTATAACGACTTAGCTAACTTGTCATAACGACTTAGCTAATTCGTTAAAACGACTACGCTTACCTAACTCGTTATAACGACTTAGTAACTCGTTATAACAACTAAGCTAACTCGTTATAACGACTTAGCTTAACTAACTCGTTAAAATGACTTAATTTCGACTATAAGTGCACATTAATTTAAAAAATAGAAGTTGAAAGATGTACAACTGCAAAATAGAAATTGTTTAATTTGTCTTGATGAATTGTTCAAACGGAAGAGGTAAATCACAGAAGCCTATTTTTGGTTTGCTTAGTTTTATCAGTAGTAGATCAAGGACTTTTAAAAGGGGGAGTGGTTTCATGTTAACAAGGGGACGAGAAGGGAGCCAAACCTTATATTATACTATTTTTAAGAATAAGGAGATAATCAGTTAAATTCAACGGGTCAGCAAAATAACCCAAAAGATTACCATGCATAGGTATTAAACAATTTAGATTTATCAGTAAATGTCTTTAAATTTGACACCCTTGTAAAGTTCTACGTTATATATTTAGAAAATGCTTGCGATCTTCGATGTATTTAGGACATTTAAGTAAAAAATGTATTTCATCTTCAATTTCTTTTTTTGCAATTGTACATCTTCCAATTTCTATTTCTAATTAATGTGCACTTATTGTCGAAATTTAGAAATCTATAAATAAGAAGATAATCGAAAATAAATCAAGACCAAAATATTAGGGGGTATACTTAAGTCCTGGAATTAAGAAAGTAGTTAAGTCGTTATAACGAGTTAGTTAAGCTAAGTCGTTAAAACTAGTTACTAAGTCGTTATAATGAGTTGACTAAGTCATTATAATGAGTAAGCTAAGTCGTTATAACGAGTTACTAAGTTGTTATAACTAGTTACTAAGTCGTTATAACGAGTAAGCTAAGTCGTTATAACGAGTTAGCTAAGTCGTTTTAACGAGTTAGCTAAGTTGTTATAACGAGTTACTAAATAAAGGCAACAGTAGTATACCGCTGTTTAAAAGTCATAAATCGATTGAGAGAAAAACAAATCCGCTTACAAACTAAAACCGAGGGAAACACATCAACTATAAGAGGAAAACAACGGAACAACAGAAACACTGAAGTGCAACAGAAACAAACGCCAACATACATAGAAACGAACTATTTGATAACAACTGCCATATTCCTGACTTGGTACAGGACATTTTAAGAAAAAATGGTGTGTTGAACCTGGTTTAATGGCTAGCCAAACCTCCCGCTTATATGGCAATGTTAAAAAAATATCGCTAAAATGACAACACTACGTGACAGAAATACAGCACAAACAAACGCAAGAACACTCAGCACAGAGAAACGCGCAATAAATAATATAATAGTCGTTACAACATGTAAACCGCAGAATAATAACGAACATCTTCCATTAACGACAGCACAGGACATCACAAACAGTGACGTGTTTTTTGTAACGAATATATTAATCTTGAAATTCATACAATTATTTTCACAAGTCGTTATAACGAGTTGGGTAAGCTAAGTCGTTATAACGAGTTAGCAAAGTCGATATAACAAGTTAGCTTAGTCGTGACTTAGAAATAAAACTACTCCCTGACACTAACAGGCTTCCATAGACACTAGTCTAAATGTCACATGTTAAGATAGTCGGTGATATAATTCGTTACACAATGTGCTAGTGACATAATACAATACGACATATATAGAGTCAGTACATATGGAATTTACTGACCACATATATATCGTTTTAGGTCACTAGCAAACTGTGTGACTAATATTATGCAAATTATAAATCCGACGGCAAGATGGTTGCTTGAGTAAATATTACAATCATATTCCAAGTAGTAACATTTTTGACTGAGTATGGATTGGCCGGTCGGTCGATGCATGCATAACAATATAGTTTATTGATTGATTGTTGGTTGCTTAACGTCCAGTGGCAAATATTTCATGCATATTCAGGACGAATATAGTTTATTACACACGCTTATTCTGTTGAAAAACTGTATCGCTCCTTGTGGAGATTGAGATTCCTCTTGGGTTTGTTGGGTTTTTTTTTTAATTGTATCAACAAAATAGATTTACTAAGAGAGAATTTTTAATTGTGATGCATTTTTTTCAACCCAACCAAATACATAAGTGGAAATATCCCAGATAATTCAATTTTATAAAGAAATCTACAGTAAATTTACCCATATTGTTTTGTAGCTTGAAAATAAAACAAGTACGGTGACCACAACTTTATTTTCTGATGGCACATTATATAAGAGCTATCTTATATATTTATTTTAAATCTACTTAGTCTAAATTTCAATCTTTTAGTTTTCTCTCTATTCACACAAAATTGCTTTTTCAACACATTTCATTACAAATCTGACAATTTTGCACAATCTTTAGCTAAAAAAAAAAAGAAGCTCTGTGACGATCCTTTTTATTATATTTTTAAAAGGCATGATATTATGACTGATCAGCAAACAGGCCATAACTATGATTAACTATATGTTGAAGTCTTGGGAAAACGACGGATGCCACTTATGTTCTGAGGGCCTTACAATGTCAGTTTTAAAAAATAACACTTGTATATAGATACACTAACGTATGTTCGTCTTTTCTTAAACTTTTCCAGAGAAACTTTAGAGTAAATTTTTCCATGGACAGAGGATTATAGCTATTTCCTTATTTTTTGTTTTATTTTTTCCTCAACCTTTTTCTTGATTTTGGCAGGTTTAAAAACATCCATCTGTTACACAAAACAATTCAAAACTATTGTGATCTATAGAATACTTCATTCAATTCAATTTAGTAAAATATTGGTTTTTAAATGATTATTATTGACGTAACTATAATCTTCCTTCTTTAACACGATAAATGTTGTCTAGAGTTTTATGATAGGATCGGTACATCCCTATAATTGCATGTGCATATTGTGTTTATTCTGCAAAAGTTAATGCAACCAAGGCGTCAACAAACTTAAAGCTGTAAACATTTTCAATTTCTGTGTACATTTAATTACGACATCAAGCTATTTGATCAGTTTGCAATAGGAGTTTCGTTTGATCAACTTTACCGAACAAAAACGATATTTGTGGTATGTATAAGGCTTAAATAAAAATAAATATATTTTATTCTGTATATATATTTTTTTAATGAACAGACAATCGACTTATTTTCTAAATGTTTTAAGAATTCTTTTTATTCATTTATGTATTTTTCTTCTTATCTTATTTTTTTATTGCTAATAATTTTGGATTTTTTAGGCAGGCTGGATTTGATGTCTCCTTCAGGTATAGTTAAGCTTTTGTTTGTTTGTCAGTTGTTGATGTTATTTGAAACGGTTTGTCTAGCATTAATATGCATTCATTTTAGTTTATATCGTTTTATGGAGTATGATTTCTTCGTGTAATTGTTGTTGGTTTTCTTTTTCTTTTTTTTTTTCCTTTTTTTTTTTCTTTCTTTCTTTCTTTCTTTCTTTTTCTTTCTTTATTTATTGTATTTAGTTATATTTTTATTGTTCCTTGTAATTTTATTTATATAAATTTTGATATTAATTCGAGATTAAAAGAGTAGGGTTGAGATATAAAAGAAATATATAAACGTAACCACACGTTAATCAGTGTGTCATAGTTAATGCAGGTGTCCCGTTAGTAGATTGATGTGTTTTATTATATTTTGATGGGTTTTTTTTTATCAGTTTATAGGAAATTTTGTAAATCTATTCTCAATTTTTTATCTTTCTAGAACGATTTATTTCTTATTATATTGAAGATACTTCTCTATTTACTGACGACCATATTTTCAGTTATATTTGTCTTTGTTGTTTTATGTAGTAAGGTTGCTGTCTCATTGGCGTGATGATGTAAGTAAGATTCTTGTTTTGTTGTGTGTAAAATGACAAATTTAAATGAAATTTGATCAAATATGTCTACTTTGTCAATGTCATTTGACGATACAGTAACATTGCATGAGTCATATTCGCAACGAATAGAAGTAAACAAATTATTCTTTTCTTTTTATTTCCATTTATGGAATAAAACCACTAATTCATAGCCCCATTGCTTTCTATGTTAAATTCTGCAATTTCAAGCATTCGTAGCTATTTTGTCTTAAATTCAAATAAAGAGACGGTAATTTCATGTCAAGACTATACCTTATTTTGTCTTGTGCTGAAAAATTCAACATACCTTTAATTGCATATTAGAGCGCTAGTTCCCGGAATTTTGGTAGTACAAAAACAGGTACTGATCTGAGCAACAGGGCAAAATTTCATATTATTTTTATCATTGAAAAAACCTTTCAACAAGGGTTCTATAGTGATTCCAGGTCCATGAGCTTCATTTGATACCAAAATTACCAAAATATTTTACTTGTAGACACAGTTACATCTATGCGTAGGAACTATTTTGTTTACATATGTACTGCTTTATTGTATGTTTCTTCTGACCGGGCCCGAATTAGTGGTTCTAAACCTTATCAACAAATTTAGCATAATTTTGAAATGACTGGAGTTGCGTTAATTGTGCGAGAATGATTGAACCCAGTTAAGTATAGATCATCTGGTTTTCTGCACTTTGATATAGTTAAGTTTCAGCCGCGGCCCACAATGTGAACCTTTTTGACGAGGTAGTGCAACGAACGAACGAAAAGGCTTCCACCGTATGGTGCAGTTGAAATTTTACAAAATCTATACAATCAATATCGCGACGTTGCTGATAATTCCTCCTAACACGTTGTGATGTGACGTCTGTTCACGTCTCAAAATAGTGATGCGAGATACTGGGAAGTACGATAATTGCATTATATCCTAATATGTGACAGATGCTATCTGACGAAAACCGTTAAATGATTTGTTTTTAACAGGCATATTTTGAGAATGGAAACGGGGAATGTGTCAAAGGTACAACAACCCGACCAAAGAGCAGAAAACAGCCCAAGCCCATAAAGAGGTCTTCAACGCAGCGAAGACCCATGTTTGTTTTACGTGTCAGTCGCATTGTCATTCGCCAACTGTTCAACCCCCCCCCCCCCCCCCCCGCTTTTATCCAATTTATACGGGTACTATATATGTATGCTGTTAAAGCTTTATGTATGTATGATTTAAAAACAGAATGTCAGCAAAGAACGGGATATTATGTATTTATTTGTTATCGCCCTGATTTTGTTGAAGGTTTTTCTGGGCCATGGTATACAGACCAAAATTGGTCGTCTTATCATTTCAGCTCCCTTCGTGGGTATTTGCAACTGATAGCTAACTTGGAAAAAAGGAATATTATAACGTGAATTATACATAAAATTTTCACAATAATTCACTTGAATCAGAGTTCATGTGAATGTCACGTAAAATTAACGTGAACAAAATATGCCTGTGTAATTTGATTGTCACTAGAAGACAATCTACTAATCGCAGGCATGTGAATTTGATTGTTATGTTCATTTTCCAAGTTATCTGTTGTCATCTTACGAAGATTACATATAGCAATTGATAATGTTGAGGATAATAACCAGTTTTGTTAATCTTAGACCAAGTCAATGTTCATCTAAGGAGGTTGTGGTGCGTTTTTGTTTCAATTTCTTTTTTGGTGCATCCTTGTTTTCTTTATGTATATTGTGGTGCGTTGCTGTTTCGCAATGATGTTAATTTGTAATCAATTTTTTCGTCCTTTAACAATTTACTTACATAGGAAACGAATATATTTACATATAAATCCGAAATTAAATTTTCATCTCAGAACGCGAAGTTGCGTTGTTTTGGATATTTGTTTTTTTTTCCAATCTTATTACATTGAGGTTTGTTGTGGTGCGTTGGTGTATGGATATTTTGTTGGTTTTTATTTCTATCTTTCTTCTAGGAAACGAAAGTTTTCATATAAAACCGAAATGATTGCCGAAAATCACTGTCTGAAATTCTTTTTATTTTAGCAAAACTATTCCCCGATTTTTGTTAAGGGGTATTCTACTATATTTTTTTTTTCATTTTCTTTGTAGTATTATTTGGTTAAAATACCGTACATTTTAAACACGTTTTTATCAAACGGTATAGTGAGATAGAGAAAGACTGGATTTCTTCGTTTGCAGTTAGCATTTTAATATTTACGTCTTTAGATGCATACTAAAGAAGGTATTTCGATATTTGTTGTTATAAGTACATGTATAATATACGATGAAGGAAACGAACAGATAAAAAAAATGGAAAAGTCAATAAGGTATAGGTCGTATCACTGATATGCACATCTGTTGTGCAAAATTATTACACGCCGTGGGTTATCTTTTATCACTCATTATTGTGAATAAATAAAGCGAAAATATATAAACTTTTAAAATGATAAAATCAATCTGTGTAGTTATTGAACATATTTTCTCATTGAAAAATAGGCGTAGCATCTAATGAAAAGATTATATGGTGTTTTATACAATTGAACTTATTGATCTTCATCAAAAGTTAAGGTCTATTAACTTAGTCAGCCAATATCATCTTACAGAGTCCCGCCCGACAAAACGCGTATTTCGTTTTCTATTGAAATATCGGCTACCAATATTTACATTTACATATATGCAGGTCACTCGAATTATGTATGTTGTTGATGAATAACTTGATAAATTTATTTATAACTTCATTTTTTTATCTCAACTACTAATAATTTAGAGCTTGACATTTTGTGAAGAATTTGTCTATTGTTGAAGACCATATTTAACATACATGTATTTCGTTTTAAGTCGTTAGGTAGCTGTCTTATATACGTTTATCTCTTTTATTCATAAAGTATAGGAAGGGTAGAAGATGATGAAACAATATCTCATCGTTTCACCAAAGGTCATAAATCATGAAATAGGTTTTGCGACCATGTTTACGATACCCGACTTTTTCACATATATTTACGATACCCGACTTTTTCACATATATTTACGATACCCGACTTTTTCACATATATTTACGATTAATCATTTACGAGAATTATTAGGCGCAAATTCCTGACTGGATCAAATCAGTCGTAAATCGGAAAGTTTGGTAATAGAAGGGAAAATGTGTGTCATGTTTGATAACAATGGCTGCATTTTTTGTTTACGTGAAATCACATGTCACAATGATACAAAATGCAAAAAACAAGTAATTTCATGAAATCTTCATTACGACACCTTATTAGTCAGTTTCACTTTTAAATACCACAGAAACAGCTGTGCATTGATAACAGGCATTATTTTCCATGTTTTTTTAGGCTGGTTTTTGATTTATTTGGCAAAACTATAGTCGATAGAGAGAAATAGTAAATAGCTAGAACAATTAACAAGACAATATATCTACAAATACGTGTATTGGCTGAAATCATCAGTTGACTAATTACAGGAGTTTTATTTTTATTTTGAATAATTATTTTTACAAATTTATTTTTATATTATCTGTAAAAGCTATAACAGAAACTTTAACCCTCCGACTTAGAGAATTGAGTTGTTGTGTAGAACGTTTTACACTCAAACTAGCTAACAGAAATTTCAGATTGAAAAAAAAACTTGTAAGCTTAGAAAGATCTACAGATAAGTATGAATGATCGAAAGCATCAGTGGATTTATTATAGGAGTTATTGTCCTTCAATTAACATTTTTAAAAGAAAAACAAAGCATATGGGGTATTCATCAATGACACAAAATCAGTTCCCATTTTTGTATTTTTGGTAGAATTACATCAGCAAAATAAAATCTACAAATACGTCAACATGACCAAAATTGACAATCAACTCCTTATTGGAGTTATTGACATGAACTGACAGTTTTTATAATATCCATGTTTTTGCGTTTTTTGGCCTTTATCTTTAAAACTATGATAAATGGAGAAAAATTGTGGGGCACAGCGAAAGTGATCAGCAAGATCAGATCAACAATAAGGTGATCATATTAACTTTTGTGGATCGACTCTTTGTATGAATTAGCTATATAGTACCCCTGAATGATGACCAACTTACCAGGTGAGCTTTTCAGTTCTCTAAAATACCGATATCTATGAAAATAAACGAGGAGATCCTTTTTTTTTTGTCGCTTCTCTGTCTTCTAAATTAAACCAATGACTATGGCTCTCTTTCATAGGGGTAGTATGCAAATTTTTATTTGTTGCCCACCCTTTTGAATATTCATTTTGGGTTAGTTATGGGGGAATAATTCGGAAAACAAAAATTACCATCGGTTTCGAATTGTATAGGTTTACTGTTTCCGCGTAAAAATTCGCGCTTATACTCCTTAAAATAAAATTTGGAATAGATTTCTACAATTTTTATGACATTGTATGTATTTTTGATTACAGATAGAAAATGAAAATGGTAATGGTATTGACGGTTCTCTGTATGGTAATACTGGGTAATTATTAACTTATCGTTTACTTAATGTTAACAATCCTGATACGTGTTCTGTATGGTAATACTGGGTAATTATTAACTTATCGTCTACTTAATGTTAACAATCCTGATACGTGTTCTGTATGGTAATACTGGGTAATTATTAACTTATCGTCTACTCAATGTTAACAATCCTGATACGTGTTCTGTATGGTAATACTTGGTAATTATTAACTTATCGTCTACTTTTAAAATGTTAAGAATTCTGATACAACTACATTTCATGAATTTGTAACCATGCCAACCTCAAGTTTTGCTTATTTTCTTTATATTGATAGAACATGTTTCCCTAGTTCCCTTTACTGTGGTTTCATTGATGTTCGTGGTATACAAATTTTCGTGGATTTTGTGGTTGTAAAAAACACGATTTGAAATATTTGACGCAATTTAATTGTGTTATTACAACAATAGTAGCAAATGAATGAAACAACGTAATGAAGATCCCTCGAATTATTTTATTTTCCAAAAATTGAAACAAACGAAAATAAAGGAATCCACAGTAATTGCATTCGTGCCATGGTATACAAGTGTTATAATTATGGTCACATGTGTAGAATGAACAACTGGCAGTCCACATCAATCTAAGGCATCAGTAGACTTCACGCTGAAATACATATATTACATATATATATTTAAAAAAAAACAGTGTATATGTGTTGCAAATAAAATACACTGTAACAGATTATAAAGAGTCTTACATCTTTTGACATGTATACGAGTCCAATTTTTGAACAATAGATAGATAGAAGAGATGCGATAAGCTTACTTCCTTATTTGTCGTATTATTTTTAAAATAATGTTTCGAACTACTGAAATAATGACATAAAAAAGATATGTCGACAAAGTTCAGCATTAGAGGTTGGAGGGATTAAAAACAGTTATTCAAATTGGACTGCCGATATTTGCCCTTGTGAAATATCTTTTAAAACACAGTCCATCCATATATTAGAAATAAATTATTTAATTGCCATTTTGGTTAAATTAGATCTCATTATATGGCCCATTAAATAGACAACTAAAATACTACTTATCGCACCAAGCATCATAGAAGTCAACAAGAACATTAATAATGTCAAAGCTGTATGCTAGAAAATATATGTATTAGCCATCATGGTACAAAGTATTGAAGGAAGGCTTTTCTCACATTTTTGGTAAAATGACTGAAAACTAGGAACTAATATTCAGGTAACAACCCAGAACGAACCAGCAGCTAACTTCACATCCATGAAATTACTTGTATTTATGGAAAGATTCTATTCTCTTAATATCCTGGAACGGAGAAGGTAGGAAAAGATCAAGGTAACTTTTCTGTCCATTGATAATTATAAATCATTAAATTGTATCAAATGACATCGCAAAGATGTTTACGAGACCTCTTAAATGACCGTGTGACCTTCCTGGTCGGTCAATATCACCAACATTTGGTTTCGGCTTAGATTAGATACATACTGAATCAAAATGATTCCCGGCAAAATTTCACATTCGATAAGGTCGGTGGCCTTTTAGGGAATCTGTAATGTTGTATCCGGCAGTATTTTGTAATATGCTTTGAATATCAAGCTGGCACTTTGAGCCCTCCATACACATCGAAGATAAAAGTCTACATCTAGGCCTTATTCAATGAAGATTGAAATAACAAAAAGGTCTACACAATGCTCAGGGACCCGTTTCGTGGATTTTCGTCGATTTCTAATCGCAAACTAAAACTTTAAACCTTCTGCATATATCAAAGTTGAAATGTTTCCGGGAAATCTTTTTCATGAAATCTGTGTCTATTGTGACTTGAGTGGTTTTTTTTTGTTAATATTTTTAGAGATATCAAGTTTTGAAAGAACATTTTTATTTAATTTTGTTGATAAAAATCAATGAACTATAAATAAAAAATTGTGATTTACGTAAGGGTAAACTTTTTTTTAGATCAATGAGAATTTACGATTACTTGTAGAGAAGTAACAAATCTTAATCATATATGCTATAAGGCACTAATGTTTAGAACGATTCTGTTTCTTAACACTATGGGAGGAGAACGTATGATAAGGCCACTTTTTTTGTCTCTTGATTTTGATAATTAAAGTGCAATGAATAGTATCAAGCAACATCAAAAAGATGCTTACGAGACCATTGAATATCAATTACTAGTATGATATATGCAAACCATGTATTACACTATCTGTTAGATTTTCGAATCTCATGTATTTGAATTTCACTGTTTTTGCAGTTTTCGTGCAAAATAATGACTTTATCATACCTCATTATTTATAAGCAGAGATAGTCACATGCTTTCCTTCTTTGTGTTGTGTCTACCTTTGATTTTATGTCTAATCTAAAGGTGCAAGTTCTCAGTATATGACAAGGGAGTACTGCCAGGATATCTGGTGTGGAGATATGCAATCAGCAACAGAATGTATAAGCTGTTGTCAAACCAAAGGATTTAGTGCAGGTGGAGAGTGTAGTTATGACAAGTGTGTGTGTTACCTTAACGAAGGTACGTGTTGTATCATTCGGGATTTGATTAACTTTATTACGAAATGTGATGTGTATTTATAAATACGTCAAGTCATACAGTGATTCTGGTTTAGTATTAACTTAGATTACAAACATTGTCAAGCTGATATATAACCGAAAAGAACCAAAAGTATAGCCAAACCATACAAGGAATCAGATCTGTGTAAAAGATAACGTAACTCTAATCAAAATAATTAGAAATACAAAATTAGAAAAAAATGTACACAATTCCATTTGAAAATATCACTGCTGTATATATATATAAAAAAACTACACCGCAAAATTCAAATGCACGCATATTTTATAGAGCCCATGTGAATTAATCTTTTGCTAAATAAAACAAAAACTGTGTGTGTGTAAGGATACATCTACCATATTAATTGGCGTTATTTTAATAGAAATGGTGAGTAAGATTAGCATTCGTCATTTCTGAAATGATTTAAAGTTAAAGTTAATTCATGAATATTTTCAGTCTCTATAAAGCAGAGATCCTGTAACATGTATTTTCAGATATACGGATTCCATTTTCAAATATGCCATTGATCTATTAAATCAAACTTTGCAATTTTATTTGTTAATCTCGTTTATTATAATATATATATATTTGTAGATAACACCGACCGTTGATCGTCCAAGAAGACACGACACAGTTAAAATTCATGAATAAATAACTATTTCTCTAACAATTGATTTTTAGTCACTTTTTATAACCTCCTGATAAATGACTTATCTAATAATAATACCTTTTTTTCTGGGAGAGCAATTACATCAGTATACTGTCTACTACATTGTACGTAAATAAAGTATGTTTGTCTGTTACACCTTGTCATATGATATTGCATCAGCATATTGGCTACAGGTTCACAACAGATACACTGTACGTAAATAAAGTATGTCTGTCTGTTTACACCTTGTCATATGATACTACATAGTATACAGGCTACAGATTCATAACAAATACAGTGTACGTAAATAAAGTGTGTCTGTCTGTTTACACCTTGTCATATGATATTACATAGTATACAGGCTACAGATTCATAACAAATACAGTGTACGTAAACAAAGTATGTATGTCTGTTTACACCTTGTCATATGATACTACATAGTATACAGGCTACAGATTCATAACAAATACAGTGTACGTAAATAAAGTGTGTCTGTCTGTTTACACCTTGTCATATGATATTACATCAGTATACTGTCTACAGGTTCACAGCAAATACAGTGTACGTAAATAAAGTATGTCTGTCTGTTTACACCTTGTCATATGATACTACATAGTATACAGGCTACAGATTCATAACAAATACAGTGTACGTAAATAAAGTGTGTCTGTCTGTTTACAGCTTGTCATATGATATTACATCAGTATACTGTCTACAGGTTCATAGCAAATACAGTGTACGTAAATAAAATATGTCTGTCTGTTTACACCTTGTCATATGATATTACATCGGCATACTGGCTACAGGTTCATAGCAAATACAGTGTACGTAAAAAAAGTATGTATGTTTTTTACACCTTGTCATATGATATTACATCGGCATACTGGCTACAGGTTCACAGCAAATACAGTGTACGTAAATAAAGTATGTCTGTCTGTTACCCCTTGTCATATGATATAACATCATCATACTATCTACAGATTCATAATAAATACATTGTACGTAAATTAAATATGTCTGTCTGTTTACACCTTGTCATATGATACCATCGGTATACTGCCCACAGATTCATAATATATACAGTGTACGTAAATAAAGTATGTCTGTCTGTTTATACCTTGTCATATAATATTACATCAGCATACTACCTACAGGTTCATAGCCAATACAGTGTACGTAAATAAAGTATGTCTGTCTGTTTACACCTTATCATATGATATTACATCGGCATACTGGCTACAGGTTCATAGCAAATACAGTGTACGTAAATAAAGTATGTCTGTCTGTTTACACCTTATCATATGATATTACATCGGCATACTGGCTACAGGTTCATAGCAAATACAGTGTACGTAAATAAAGTATGTCTGTCTGTTTACACCTTGTCATATAATATTACATCAGCATACTGCCTACAGGTTCATAGCCAATACAGTGTACGTAAATAAAGTATGTTTGTCTGTTTACAACTTGTCATATAATATTACATCAGCATGCTGCCTACAGGTTCATAGCCAATACAGTGTACGTAAATAAAGTATGTCTGTCTGTTTACACCTTATCATATAATATTACATCAGCATACTGCCTACAGGTTCATAGCCAATACAGTGTACGAAAATAAAGTATGTCTGTCTGTTTACACCTTGTCATATAATATTACATCAGCATACTACCTACAGGTTCATAGCCAATACAGTGTACGTAAATAAAGTATGTCTGTCTGTTTACACCTTATCATATAATATTACATCAGCATACTGCCTACAGGTTCATAGCCAATACAATGTACGTAAATAAAGTATGTTTGTCTGTTAAGACCTTGTCATATGATATTGCATCAGTATACTGGCTACATGTTCATAACCAATACAGTGTACGTAAATAAAGTATGTCTGTCTGTTAAGACCTTGTCATATGATATTACACCAGTATACTGACAAGAGATTCATAACAAATACAGTGTACATAAATCAATATAAAAAAGGAGTTGTGGTATGATTGCAAATGAGACAACTATGCACCAAAGTTCAAATAAAGTGGAAGCAAGCAATTATAAGCAACCGTACGACCTTTAACAATGTGAAAAGTCGGCTATAAAAGGCCCCGACATGACAGGCCCAGATGTGAACCAACGACAACTACTGAACTACAGGCTCCTGACTCGAGACAGACACATAAATAACGTGGCGGGGTTAAAAATGTTTGAAATAGACAATCCTCTCCCTAATCTGGGATAGTGGTGTAACAGCACAATACAACAACATAAATATACAAAACAATAAACGGAAAACAAGTATGAGAAACAGCAACAAACGATAAAATCTCAATTACAGGCTCCTGACTTGGGACAGGCACATATAGAATGCGGCGGGATTAAATATATTTTACCCTCCTCATTACCAGTACAACATAAAAAGCATGTTTTCCGGTGAACACCTTGTCAAATATTACCTATATTGACTATATAAAACTATGCACCAAGACTTGTTTTAAACGGAAGTCATGAAATCTGACACATAAATCAACCCGGAGACATTTACACTTAAACATTTTTAAAAGTCTAATTAATACATTTTAAATCCTAGAACACCTGGTTTTGGTTATGTATCATCATACTAGTGAACTTCAAGAAATAATGTTTGGTTTCGTTTATGATCTTCGCATTTTTTCAGTATTACACATACAAAAATATTGTCGTACATTAATTATACAATAGTAAACATTCGAAATGGGTATTAATTCGTTAAACAAAATCATTACACGCATGTGAAATAAGAAAGAACAAAGAAACAGCGTTGAAGAAAATGTATTGAAAAACGCATTGAAGGTCATGTATTGACGAACACATTGGAGGTCGTGTATTAACGAACGCATTGAAGGTCGTGTATTGACGAACGCATTGGAGGTCGTGCTTTGAAGAACGCATTGGAGGTCGTGTATTGACGAACGCATTTGAGGTCGTTCTTTGAAGAACGCATTAAAGGTCGTGTATTGAGTTCAGTTTTTCTGTTGTTCCGTTGTTTTCCTTTTATAATTGATGTGTTTCCCTCGGTTTAAGTTTGTTACCCGGATTAGTTTTTGCTTAATCGAATTATGACTATTGATCAGCGGTATACTACTGTTGCCTTTATTTATTGACGAACGCATTGGAGGTCGTGCTTTGAAGAACGCATTGGAGGTCGTGCTTTGAAGAACGCATTGGAGGTCGTGTATTGAAGAACGCATTGGGGGTCGTGCATTGAAGAAAACATTGAAGGTCGTGTCTTGAAGAGCGCATTGAAAGTCGTGCTTTTCTCAGCTGTTAACAGCGTCTTTATACTAAATCTGTTGGATATGACTGGTTGACAATTTTTCCGGATCCAAATTATTTAACTTTTAGCAAATAAAATATGTTTAAACTGAAATACTCGTCCTGATGCGTGTGATACTCGTCCTTATGCATGCAGTACTCTTCTGATGCGTGCGGTACTTACCTTCATGCTTGTGGTACTTGCCCTGATGCGTGCGGTACTCATTCTTATCCATGCGATACTCGTCTATATGAGTATGATACTTTGTCCTAAATAGTGGATGCTGGTAAGGATACAAATCTCTTAGGGACATACTCACCTATTTCATGATACATGTCGTTTTTCTTATTCATTTTTTAAATACGAGGATAAAACTCTACTGATAAACATGATTCGGTGATTTAATTTTGTATGTTATAGGTCGATGCATGAGAGTCTTCTACTAAGAGCTTATATGAAAAAGTCACATAATTCCGAAAATATAACTTTGTTCCTCGCAATAATTTTGGGTTATTTAATACATGTAGTATAAATACTTTACCAAAAAACAGCTCTTTACTACACTTACGACGTGGCTATATAATGATAATTCTACATATGGACATACTTGGAAGACTTAAATCATTTCAGAATTAACGTGTTTAATCAATGTTCCATATGGAAGATATACTTTCGACATTCACTTACAAAAATGTTGTACTTTCAAGGCCATTCTCGAATCAAAAGATTTTATCATGTATTACCCCCCAAGCAATCTAGTATTAACTAGTTTTTATACACCTACATGAGTCTGTTATAACCACAATGTATGTCGGTGAATCCTCATTACTTAGAATTAACAAGACAGAGATCATCAGATCATCTTTAAATTATTCTGATTGGTTTGAATATTGGATAAAATGTTTTGTATTGACATTTATGTCCGTATTTGTCATAATATTATATTCATATTAAGTACGCCCTCCCTCCCGTGTTAATTCTTAAATTGCAATATGGTCATGTGGTTGAATGTGTGGTTTTCATTCTGTAGTAGCTCGTCTGTGGCGTGAGGTTCCCGACTAAAGTAAGTTATTATCATATCAAAATTTAATATATTCAGTTATCAAGTGAATAGCTTTTTCATCAATGTTTTAAGGCAAAAGTTACCAAACTAAAAGGAACTAAACAAGGAAGAAAAAAATGAAATCATAAAACTATACAAGGTAAATTGAAAGCAATAGGACGGACATACAGGGTTAAGGTTAAAGGGATAATGGCTACGATTTGGACAAAAAAAATAAAGTATGCTTTTATTGATTTCAAAAATAAATAAAATCGGAGTATTTGCATTAGTAATTTTAGTGCTTGTTTGGCTCAGTTTTGTACACATAAGCTTAAAAACATCGCTGGTGTATAAATATCTTGCAAGACAATAATTCGACCTCATTTGGGTCCGTATGCATGCAACCTTTTATTTGACCCTTAGTTGAAGATACATATCCATATAAAAATAAGGAGATATGGTATGATTGCCAATGAGACAACTATCCACCGGCTATAAAAGGCCCCGACATGAAAAATATAAAACAATTCAATGGAGAAAACTAACAGCCTAATTTATAACAAAATAATTTACGACTAACAAAGATGACAGACATGAAACAACGATAACAACTGAACTACAGGCTCCTGACTTGTGACAGGCACATATAGAATTTGGCGGGGTTAAACTAGTTTGCCAGCTCCAAACCCTCCCGGATAAAGTAAAAAAAAAAGGGGAAGGCAGCATAAGAATGACAAATTATTTTGATTGATTCGATTGAAAAAATTAGTCTTATACAAATTATGAGTAAATTAATGATTTGAATGCTTTATCTATAAAAAAAAAATTAAAATTAAAAAAACAGAACTTAGAAAATCGGTATTATACTAGTAATGTAGCACGTACGTACCTATCTATTTGTATTTATATTTATATGGATAAAAGACTTGCAAGTTTGGAATTTTGACTTGCATTTTGAGAAGAAGAAATGTACAAAATGATCACTGCAGAGTAAAAAGACAGTTCTTTAATATAAGCTACAGATCAACATATCCTAAATCTATTGCAATTTTACCTGACAAAATCTATAGAGGTCCTTACTCCTTACTACAAAGAATACATCTTCTCATTTCAGACAATCTTTCAATAGTGATGCTAGTGACCATTTGTTATCAACTGATATTGAGTAACATAGTACTCTACTCAGGTATGAATAAAATAGATTCTTCATATTTACTAAGTCCGCACCATACGTCAATGTTTTAACTTTATCAGAATCAGCTGTGGTGTGATAACCAATGAGACAACTCTCCTCCAGAGACTAAATGACATAGAAGTTAACAGTCATGAGTCACCGAAAAAGAGAGGAGATGATACCAAAGGGACATTCAAACTCATAAGTCGAAAACAAACTGACAACGCCGTGACTAAAAAAGAAATAAAAGAACAGAGTTCCAATGTCCCCCGCGTTGCACATATTTTATCTGGCCATTAGCAAACACTAAAAATTTCTTTAAAATTTTTATAAATATTTCATCGGCATTCATTTTCCAAAGTGTTCAAGACATTGCTGATACAAACCTTTGTTAATTTTTGATAAAAATCTGACAAAAATTGTACCTGTGAGGGCGCTTACAATGCAATTTTCCATATAACTAATATTTCCAAGGGGCATAACTCTTTAAAAATTAATTGATTGGCACTGATTTTCGAACTTGTCCGAGACATTGCTGATATAAACCTATGATATAAGTATTATAAAAATCTGGCAAGAATTGTACAAATGAGAGCGCTAACAATACAATTTTCCATATAAATTAATGTTTCCAAGGCAAACTCTTTTAAAAATGGCTGATCGGCACTAATATTCGGACTTGTCTAAGATATTGGTTATATGAACTTATGACATAAGTTTCATAAAAAATATGGCAAGAATTGTACAAATGAGAGCGCTAGCAATGCAATTTTAATCTAATTAATATTTCCAAGGTGCATAACTCTTTTAAAAATTGTTGATCGTCACTGATTTTCGAACTTGTCCGAGACAATGCCGATATAAACCTATGATATAAGTTTCATTTAAATCTGGCAAGAATAGTACACGTGAGAGCGCTAACAAAAACGGACGGACGGACGCCCAGTATTTCTAAGTCACCCGGCAACACGTTGCGCGGGGGACAAAAAAGACAAACAGACACAAAACACAACATGGAAATCTAAAGACTGAGCAACACGAACCCACCAAAAACTGGTAGTGATCTCAGGTTCTCCGAAAGGGTAAGCAGATCCTGCTCTACATGTGGCACCCGTCGTGTTGCTCATGTTAGTACAAACCTGGTGATAAGTATAATTCGGTAGGACACATTCGGGGAAAAGGGGACGTGATTGTAGTTACGACAATTGAAACATATCCGTTGTCATCTATGGAACGAATATTCCATAACGGTCAACCAACTCGTGTTCGCGTCCGACAAATTTACAAAGGGACGATTTCAATTTCACCACTTGGAACTCTTGGTTTGATAGCCTTCGTTTGAGCAGCAACCCTCTATCAAGGAAATCATGATAGGAAATACAAGCCCTGGAATATCGTATCAACTGGGAGATTTATACTCCTATGCAGGTGCTGCTGGAATGTTCCTACATAGAAATGGGAAGTTCACAATTGGGAAGCTGAAATCATCTCTTTTGTCGTAAAGTTTTGTTTTCAACCGACCATCATTGTCAATTTCTAGATGTAAGTCAAGATATGAGGCAGACTTAACTATATCTGTTGTATCCATTATCTCTAGTTCGATGGGATAGATGCGTTCAATATACTCACCAAATTTGGAATTATTTAGTGAGAGAACATCATCTATATAGCTGAAAGTGAAGTTAAAGAAAACTGCTAACTTCTTTTCTTTATTCCTAAGAAGTTCCTGTATGAAGTCAGCCTACGACCTTCAACAATAATGCCTGTTTATTTGTTTTTATAATTTACGACTTTATATATTATAAGTAAATCACAGTTTATGTACATATTGTAGTCAGAGTGTCGGTACTGACATGATTTTTAATATCCTCCGTTGATATATTCAGAAATGGTTCCAATTCACTCAGGCAAAGCTGTCCTAAAAAGAATTTGGCTATTTGTTTTAGGTCCCTTTCGGTCATATAGCTCTTTACACGTTTAGGTCTTATACATCCTTGTCTTTCAAATGTTTCGAGTTTAAGCGTTCTTGGTAGGTAACTCCAGAAAAGCGTTTCGGATGCATGAAATTAATGAAGTGTTAATTCTATATAAATTGTAATTGCTGAGTATTTATTTTGCAGGAATAAATGGCCAGAGCCAACATGTTATTGAAACAATAACACTTCCCTGGAACATTAATAAACAACACAAAAATGGGCCTAAATCTTTAGAGGAACCCAAACCTATCCATATTAGACGGAGTGGCCATGATCTTTCAGGACAACCTACCATTAATCCCTTAGGAGAAACAATAGCTATTGTAGATCAATCCATGGTGAAGCGAATTCCTGATAACATGACTGAAAAGAACATTATTGACCTTTTGAACTCGCCCATGCTAAAGATGACGCCTGAAAATAGTAGCAAAAAGAATGTTGTTGATAATATTAATATGTCAGTGATGGAGCAAATCAATGGTAAAATCATTCAGAAGACCACTGCAGATACAAAACAAGTGTCCATAGTACCGCCAATGGTATCGCAGATCCCTAGTAAAAGTATTTCAGCTGTAATGCGACACCATGAAATTTCTTCCGATCATAATACCCAACAACGTGATAGCGAAAAAGCGTCAGATGTGGCGTGGGTACCTAATCCGAACATACAACAGAATGATCACGTATCTGAAGCAGAACACCGTGTGGGAATGAAAAACCACACATTACAAAGAAATAAGTCATTTGCAAGACACATTCAACATCATCTAGTGAATCAAACAAAGTTAATGAACCCGAATGAATCTATAATGAAACCCGAAATGAAAGTGAACAAAGTAGATGCAAACAAACCAATAGTTATAGCAGCTTCCTTAGATAGGATACATGATTCTGTCTTCCAAAATCAAAACTCGGAACATGACGTTATAGCACAAGATAATAAAACTTTGAATAAGACTTTAAGCAGGAAAAACCCAATTAGTAATATCCCAAGCCAACTTAATGATAATAGTGCTTCCCTCTTGAAGATTATTTCGCCAAATTTCTTTTCGAAACATCCGCAGCAAGGTTTGCCAATGCAAATATTTACTGTGCCATCAAATGTGTCTGGTGATCTTCCATTTAAGTATAATTTTTCTAACACCCATACAAACAGTCAGTTCACTAACTTTAATATGTCTTGGGATGCAGGCGGCGTGAAATTTCATTCTTCTGATAAAAGCCATCAACAAGAGAAACAGGAGCGTCATCGTACTGTGAATAGAGGAAAAGATGTACTCGCGTTTTCTGACAAGTCAGAGAATTCTAATGATAAACAGACGACAAAAAGTCTCAACCAAAATTCAGATTCTTCCCGACTGTTAGCTAGCAAAAGTTCTGTTCAGGTTAACACTAACGAACGTTCTCGTCGCGTTTCGTCGAGCGATGTTCATTCATTCATCCGACATAATAAAACAGATCAAACAAATGAAGCTAAAAAAGTTGAATTTGTTAAGAACGAGCGTAGCAAGCCATCATTCATTCATTCAAATGACTTCAAAACCTCGCACAACACAGGATTGACCGTTCAAAGATCAAAACCTGTGCTTCAAACACATCGAGAGGTAAATAGGAGACTTGGTCGACAAAAATTTGGCGAATGGAATTTGAAAGAGACAGAAAGACAACTCACACCTTCGGAAATAGTAACTTTTTTTCAGGTGGAGCGGCCTTCTGAGAAAACAAAAACTGTTAGTCTAGCACATAGCCAAAATTCTGTAGACGTTAATAACTTTGATACTGAGATCCGAACTTTAGGCGCACACCACATTAATCAGTGGATAACGAAGTCACCATTTTCCCTTGATATATCCAATAAAGATAGGTCTGTACTTGGACATCATAATCTCGATAACATCCACAATTTCAACTGGAAAAAGAAATTTCTAAGTGATACACTTCTTGATAATAATAATGATAATAAACACAAAATAAATAAAGTAGCATGGGAAGAACATGCAAGTCAACATCGAAAGTTACACACTATTTTAAACAATAAAAACCATGTTCCTCTGAAGAACAATGAACACAATTTTCAAAATTTTCAAAGTTCTTGGCACAAATCCTGGTGGACAACATAGTAATGATAACCAATATACATTTTTGAATACATGTTGATGTATGAGTCTACCATCGTCATAACTATATATATACTGATGAAATTTACCCAAAGGAACTTACTTTAAATAAATCAAATATTAACAGCAAAAACTATCATTTCCCAGATTTAGATATTTCAGTGTTACACCAGGAACTCTACACAAAACTTTACGACAAAAGGGATGATTTTTCTTTCCCTATTGTTAATTTTCCTTTTTTGGACGGCGATGTTCCTTTGACACGGTATTACGGTGTTTTTATATTCTAACTTGTTCACTATGCCCGTGTCTGTAGTGACGTTTTGGATTTCTATGAGCGTAATCTATGTATTAATAGTAAATTATTGAGTTAGGGATTTCGTTACCACAAATTAATGAAAACTTGTACTACATTATTCCATAGATACAAAGATTTGGTTTGAAAGTTTGGCTGTACCTGTAGAAAACTGATTTCAAACGGAATAGCACATCCTAAATTTAACGGTGGTGTTGTTAACCGAGACCGGAAATTTAGATAATAAAGAATAAGAATAAGAATATTTTATTGAATCCAATTAAAGGGCCCGTTTCCGAGCATATACACACACACATATATATATATATAGTATTAATTATACAGTAATTTTTAAGATATATTACATTGAAAATAAATGAATAAATAACTATACTCCATACCATCTACTACACCACAACTTCATGTATATTTAGTTTCTGGATTTAAAATTTTCTCTTATTTCAAATCAAGTACTAATAAATCTTGACACTGACATATTAACATTTTTAGACTCACTGGACATTAACCAAATAAACTGTTCGTACTTTGAAATATAAGGGAAGTTTTTACATTGAATACATGCTTCATTAAGAATTAAATTCCTTTCTTTTCGTATGCAGTGCATTCCATTAAAAATGAAACTCGTCTTCAACCTGCATATTTTTACACTGCCCACAAAATCTTTTATCTTTATCGATTCTTTTATATCGACCTTTCTCAATAGCTAACTGATGAGCACTGATTCTGAATTGAGTTAATATTTTTCGATACTGAAATTTATTAGCTTGACATAAATATGCTTCCCTTTTGAAGATGTTTTTAGATTTAAAAAAGTACGCAATTTTCCTTTTTTAGCATTTGCATTAACGTGTTTAGAATTTTTCCAGTAAATCCTATATCTACTAATCAAAATATTTTTAACCTTTTCAATGTCAAAACTTTTCATATCAACATCAATTCATCTTAAAATATATACAATACTAGAATACCAAGATGACTTATTACATTTGTGAGTGTCCATACTTGTGACCAGGGCTTTTTGATACGATCCAGGTAAAATTATCAATATTTTAAATAAATTTATTCTAAAAGGTTACAATTAAATCTTTGAATATTGTTTTATTGGTATAAATATTGATTTTGTTATCAGTACATTAAAACCATACTAAATATTATTGTTACACACATATGTACTTTCACGGTACTACAAGCTATATTTTGGCATTGCACAAGGTTATGTTTTTCTCTGATTGTTAATTACGTCTTTACACTAAATCCATTGAATGTTGGATGTGTACTGATTGATATTTTAGTCTTAGATAAATGATTTTTGTTATTAGTTTTTGCCTTTGAACGAGCTGTCAGTAACTGCGTGTAATCTCAGATCTGTAATTAGTGTCTTTTTTTTTTTGTTAATGATGAGGGATAGTCTGTGTTTTTGATTGGTGTGTTTCTGCTTTGTATCGATCTGATGAGTTGAGCCTTTTTCAACTAATTTTTATAGTTTATTCTTATGTTGTGCTGATGCACCACTGTCCCAGGTTAGGGGAGGGTTGAGCGCTCATAAACATGTTCAACCCCACTACATTCTTTATGTGCCTGCCCCAAGTCAGGATCCTGTAGTTCAGAGGTTGTCGTTGGTTCATGTCTGTCATATTTGTTTTTCGTAAATTGTTTCGTTATAAATTAGGCCGTTAGTTTCTCAATTAAATTGTTTCATATTTTTTATGTCGGGGCCTTTTATAGCCGACTATACGGTATGGGGTTTTCTCATTGTTGAAGGGCGTAAGGTTGCTGCAATTGCTTACATCCACTTCATTTGAACTTTGGTGGATAGTTGTCTCATTGGCAATCATACCACATCTCCTTATTTTTATAATGATGCTGTATTGTCAATAATTTCAAAATATCAGACTGGATATTATTATGATGTCTTTGAATAAAACTTTAAAGTGGTCTCTCGAGATCAGCCTGGATTGTGTGATATTACGAGATCGATTCAAGGTCGTGTCAGACCAGTTTGTCAGCCCTTGACGCTGACCTTTTGTTCAAAATCTACTATAGGTAAATTGAAAAAATAAGTCATAAGACACAAGATTTACAGCAAAATGCATTGAGTGTGTAGGTAAAGGTAATATATTTGGTTAGCTTGCTTGCTAGCTGAACCGTGAAATCATTATTAGGTTTGGTATACTACCCTCTTTTCGGAGTAGTCTAGTCCTACAGACAGATAGATTGGTTATCTGTCGGACTAGTCTACTCTTAAAGGATGATAGTATACCTAACTTAATAATGACTTCACGGTTAAGCTAGCAAGTAAGCTAACCAAATATATTACCTTTACCTACACACTCAAGGCATTTTGCTGTAAGAATTTGGACGGACAGCCAAAAGTTCAGTGTAATGGCTATTTTACTTCTAATTTGTTTCACTCACGGAGTAAAAACTCAAAAGTTGGTAATTTTTAGTGTAATTTAATCATTCAATAGTCTGAATAATATACAAAGGTGATCAAGCAACAACTTTCCAATTGCCCGTAAATTTAAAATTTATAATGATATACAACACAATATAGTTTTGTATTAATCTTAGGAAATTATAACAAGGCTATTAGTTCGAAATTTTATTCGATATTAAGGTGTTGTAACATCAAAGTACACATATGATAATGTAATACTATAAGTAAAGGTAAAACTTGAAAAAGACCCTAGTGTGAAAATAATTCAGGTGTTTTTTTGTGGGTCATAAATAACTGTGTTGTATCAAAATAAATATAAAGCAATAGGCTTTAAATGTATGGCCTTTGTCAAATCTTTTGGTTTGGTACTTTTGGAAATTAATATCGGGTTTCTCAAGCAATAATTATGTTCCTCGTTTCTTTACCACTTTCTGAACTTGTGAAGAAAAATAGATAATTTTTGTTTACAATGGAGGTAGTAATGGACAACTCTGGTTAATTTACACCATGAAATATGTACGATCTGAAACATTTACTTAATATGTAAATCATTATATATGTAGCATCACATGACATTCATAACTTATATATGATGTTTATTCAACCGTATTTGATGTACATTTTGTATTTGTTTGTGATATTTCCGTCTTTTATGTAATAAAATGTCGTAAAAGAAATAAAATTGAGGATAAAAGGACGACTATGTTAACTGCTTAAGGTAAGCGTAAATGTGTGTTTTATTTTCCAAATAACGAATGTTCTTTATAAATATTTAAAGTTGAATAAATAATACGCTGAATATATAAAATCTTCTTTTTACCCATTTATTTCGTCGTTTTAGATTATGATGAATAGGAAATAAGTTTGCCATATTGTATTAACCAATACAAATTCAACGATAAAGACAATTGCGTCGAAAGAACACTGTCCTCGTGTAACGTTATATATATTCATTATGTAGTCTATACAAATACCGATTGAGGAGAGAATATCTTATTATTACAATACTTCTTCCATCTTCAGATTTCATATTTTAGCAATACTTATTCCATCGTTTTATCTGGTGATTTAATTTCAGTAGTTTATTTAATGCGCCACAGAAGACTTACAGCGGTCATTGTAATATCAGAGAGGACCACTCGAGACCACGTTTGAGACCGATTTGATCTTTTAAAATATACCCATCTTTGAAGACCTCAAGTATTTCTAATGCCTCGTTCACACGTACATTAAATTCAAATTGAATTCGAATCGAATGCGAATCGAATTCGCTAATCGCGTTCACACACTCTTCTTTTTTAATTCGAATTGATTCGAATTGGCTAAATCGCATTATCCAATTCGCATTAGAATTGCGTTTTTGTTAATACGAATTAAAAGTTAACGTCGTTTGGACAGTAAAGCGAATTTGACGCGCATTGCAATTCGAATTAGAATTTACGTTTGGACGTAAAACGTTTCGAATGCGAATTAAATTAATTCGAATTAGTTAATGTGAATCGAATTCGAATTACGTGTGAACGCAGCATTACTTGAACACCAATACCATAGATATTTTCATTGGGTTTTCTGTACATCTCAGGAATTTAGTTTATATGTTCATTCAACACATATCCATCCCCCTTTTCCCACAAATAAAATGATATCAGTCATTATAAACTACTTGTATTTATTTAAAGGTATTGTATGTTTTATTTGTGATGATACTGGACTGCCTATTGATATTGTCAGTATATCTACCTTTTGTTAAACTGGCACATGATCATCCGGCCTTCAGGCAATCAGGTAAGTGTTCCATATTAGTGTTATTGTTCTGTACATTAATCTCTTTCTCATGTAAGTGTTCCATATTAGTGTTATTGTTCTGTACAATATATCTCTTTCTCAGGTAAGTGTTCTATATTAGTGTTATTGTTCTGTACAATATATCTCTTTCTCAGGTAAGTGTTCCATATTAGTGTTATTGTTCTGTACAATATATCTCTTTCTCAGGTACGTGTTCAATATTAGTGTTATTGTTCTGTACAATATATCTCTTTCTCAGGTAAGTGTTCCATATTAGTGTTATTGTTCTGTACAATATATCTCTTTCTCAGGTACGTGTTCAATATTAGTGTTATTGTTCTGTACAATATATCTCTTTCTCATGTAAGTGTTCCATATTAGTGTTATTGTTCTGTACAATATATCTCTTTCTCATGTAAGTGTTCCATATTAGTGTTATTGTTCTGTACAATATATCTCTTTCTCAGGTACGTGTTCTATATTAGTGTTATTGTTCTGTACAATATATCTCTTTCTCAGGTACGTGTTCAATATTAGTGTTATTGTTCTGTACAATATATCTCTTTCTCAGGTAAGTGTTCAATATTAGTGTTATTGTTCTGTACAATATATCTCTTTCTCAGGTACGTGTTCCATATTAGTGTTATTGTTCTGTACAATATATCTCTTTCTCAGGTACGTGTTCCATATTAGTGTTATTGTTCTGTACAATATATCTCTTTCTCAGGTAAGTGTTCCATATTAGTGTTATTGTTCTGTACAATATATCTCTTTCTCAGGTACGTGTTCCATATTAGTGTTATTGTTCTGTACAATATATCTCTTTCTCAGGTACGTGTTCCATATTAGTGTTATTGTTCTGTACAATATATCTCTTTCTCAGGTACGTGTTCCATATTAGTGTTATTGTTCTGTACAATATATCTCTTTCTCAGGTACGTGTTCCATATTAGTGTTATTGTTCTGTACAATATATCTCTTTCTCAGGTAAGTGTTCCATATTAGTGTTATTGTTCTGTACAATATATCTCTTTCTCAGGTACGTGTTCCATATTAGTGTTATTGTTCTGTACAATATATCTCTTTCTCAGGTACGTGTTCCATATTAGTGTTATTGTTCTGTACAATATATCTCTTTCTCAGGTACGTGTTCAATATTAGTGTTATTGTTCTGTACAATATATCTCTTTCTCAGGTACGTGTTCAATATTAGTGTTATTGTTCTGTACAATATATCTCTTTCTCAGGTACGTGTTCAATATTAGTGTTATTGTTCTGTACAATATATCTCTTTCTCAGGTAAGTGTTCAATATTAGTGTTATTGTTCTGTACAATATATCTCTTTCTCAGGTACGTGTTCAATATTAGTGTTATTGTTCTGTACAATATATCTCTTTCTCAGGTTAGTGTTCCATATTAGTGTTATTGTTCTGTACAATATATCTCTTTCTCAGGTAAGTGTTCTATATAAGTGTTATTGTTCTGTACAATATATCTCTTTCTCATGTAAGTGTTCCATATTAGTGTTATTTTTCTGTACAATATATCTCCTATCCATCAAACCAAAATTGCTTCACCTATTAACTTTATCAGTTATATTAAGATTAATATTTAAGTCAACTTTTCATATAACTTTACTTTAAAATTAAATCTTACAGCAACATATTATAGAATCATTTTCAAAATGATCGTGAAAAATATTCAATAAAAACTCCGTCCCTGGAACTTTATTCCAACATCCCTTTGAATAATTTGAAACTTGATCTGAAAATATCGTCACTACTGCACATGTTTTTAAAATGACAGGTTAAAGGCATCTACGAGCGATGTCAAAATTCAGCGGACAATAAACAAACAAGACAAGTATAAAGCAATCAGACAAACAAGAATAGACATAAAGAACAACAGGTATACTTCAAACATTTAAAACCGGAAGTGATGTCAGGTTCTCCTAAACAGTAAGCATATTCTGCTTTGTATTTGATAAGGTAGAATTGCCCTTTGTTCAAACTGGTAAAAGTTGAAAATTGGTGAAATTTGTTTAAAGATTTGAAATGGGTCTACTGCAATTTCTGATTTATTTATACACGACAGCAATCGACACCATCGTTTTGTAAGCTATAAAACTTAATCATGTGATCAGTTTCGGCTGAACGACTTCTGTAAGAGATGATATTGGTTTTACATTGTGGGGGAAACTAGCTGTTCAATTTGGCAATGCCTATGATGGTGTATTGCATTGCTGCCGGTGTAGAAAGATCGGGATCAACTTGCACAAATAAAATTTATATTCAAGCCTAACGTCTCGGACAGATTTTCAAAATTATATAGCACCGTTAAATTAGAAATTACCAAATATGGTAACAGTCCGAAATAGGGTCAAAATGTCTATGTTAATGTCCTCGTCATACTTAATAACTGTCCGGGGAAATATTTAAAGTAGGTATCTATATATAGATAAACATAAGAACATAAAAGTTAATTATAATTGTATCTTCCCATATGTCCAAAATGTATGTCAAATATCTGTTACAACAGATTATTACAATAGATCAGTGTTTAATCACTGAACTTCTGAAAGTGGCAAGCAAAAAAAAAACGTAACGTAAGGTACCCTGATAATTGTTAATATCTAAAGAGCAGGATTTCATGTTAGAGTAATACAATGACATACATTATACAACAATAATGAAATACACTTATCCGAAAATAATTACCTACCATCTCGTTTATCAATTGCATGATTTATCATTTCTTTTTTTTAGCTCACCTGGCCCGAAGGGCTTTTCTCATCACTTGGCGTCCGTCGTCCGTCGTCATCGTTAAAATTTTACATTTTGAACATCTTCTAGAGAACCACTGAATGGAATGAAACCAAACATGGCATAAATGTTCCTTATGAGGTGCTGACCAAGTGTTGTTACTTTGTAGCCGATCCATCATCCGAGATGGCCGCCAGCGGGAGACTTCGTTTAACATAGGACCCTAGGGGAAATACATACAAATGTCATCTTTTAGAAAACCACTAAATGGAATGAAAAAAAAACATGACATGAATGTTCCTTATGAGGTGCTTACCAAGTGTTGCAACTTTGTAGGCGATCCATCATCCAAGATGGCCACCAGCGGGGACTTAGTTTAACATAGGACCCTGTGGGAAATACATACAAATGTCTTCTTTTAGAGAACTACTGAATGGAATGAAACCAAACATGGCATGAATGTTCCTAATGAGGTGCTGGCCAAGTGTTGTTACTTTGTAGCGAATCAATCAACCAAAATGGCTGCCAACGGGGAACTTATCTTAACAAAGGACCCTATTGGAAATATATACAAATGTCTTCTTCTAGAAAACCGCTTAATGGATTGAAACCGAACATGGTATGAATGTTTCTTTTGAGGTGCTGACCAAGTGTTGTTACTTTGTAGCTGATTTGTCATCCAAGATGGGAAATACATACAAATATTTTCTTCTAGAGAACCACTGAATAGAATGAAACCAAACATGACATGAATGTTCCTAATGAGGTGCTGACCAAGTGTTGTTACTTTGTAGCCGAACCATCATCCAAGATGGCCGCCAGCAGGGGACTTTGTTTAACATAAGACCCTATGGGAAATACATACAAATGCTTCTTCTAGAGGAGCACTGAATGGAATGAAACTAAACATTACATAAATGTTAATTATGAGGTGCTGATGAAAACCTTAATACATGTATCTTTATAGATTGAGATCTACTGTAAACTGCAAAATATCAAGAAAAGAAGATTTACACATAAGTCAACATGAGCAATATTGTCAATTGACATCTTGTTGAAGTTATTGTCCTTATAAAGTAATTTTCTACAATTTCAATGAATTTATTGGTAATTTCTGTAAACTTTACAAAAGTCTTCTGCTTTTGATTAAATTACGGGGCCAATATTAAACCAAATTTGGCCTCAATCATTATTAGGGTATCTGTTATGATTTTAAACTATTTTTACATGATTTCCAAAATCAAAGTAGAATCAGGTGAGCGACACAGGCTCTTGAGAGCCTTTAGTTTTATTTACAAAAAGTGTTTTGCCAAAAAGTGTGGGAGGCCAAACATAGTTTTACATCCATCTTCATCAAATCTGGTATTTCATTGATGTCCTGACTGCTTCGGTGGTTTAGTTGTAGTAGTATATGCGCCTCGAGTGCGGGATGTCGTTGGTTAGAACCCCAGCGGGTCAAACCAAAGACTTTAAAATTGGTAATATAAAAATGAGGAGGTGTGATATGCTTGCCAATGAGATAACTATCCACCAGAGTCCAGATGACAAAGATAAAAGCAATAATATGTCACCGTACGGCCTTCAACATTGAGAAAAACCCATACCGTATAGTCGGCTATAAAAGGCCCGACATAAAAAATAAAAAAAAAATGCAAACGAAAAATCTAACGACCTACCTTATACAATACAATTTACGAAAAACAAATATGGCAAACAAGAACAAATGGCAATCACTGAATTACAGGATCCTGACTTAGGACAGGCACATACAGAATGTGGTGGGGTTAAACATGTCTGTGAGCGAGCACCCTCCTCCTAACCTGGGACAGTGGTGCTCTAGCACAACATACGAACAAACTGTAATAAAATGCTCCGCTGGGCGCAGCTTGATACAACCACAGAGGTCGAACCCTGAACAGTTGGGGCAAGTATGGACACAACATTCAAGCTTGATACAGCACTGAATTTGGATTGTGATTAAATATTTGACACAGCATAGGTTTCTGACACAGAATGAATGTGGTCTAAGAACTTAATTTTTTTTAATTTACCTATTCAAACCATATCATTATTATTTGCTTTTATATATAAATCAGAAATAACCAATTTAAAATGGAAAATTTTAAAGAAAAAAAAAGGAAAAAAAAATCCCCCCCCCAAATTTTTTGAACCCCCTTATGATTCATCATCCCCAAACTCAATCCCAGCCTTCCCTTTGTGGTATGGTACCTTGCAGTACAATTTCATAGAGATCCATACACTTGAACACAAGTTATTGTCTGGAAACTAGAAAAATGCTTGTTTTTTGGCCCCTTTTTGGCCCCAAATTCCTAAACATTTAGGGCAATTACCCCCAAATTCAAACCCAGCTTTCCCTTTGTGATATGGAACCTTGTAGTACAATTTCATAAAGATCCATACACTTACACACAAGTTATTGTCCTGAAACTAGAAAAATGCTTGTTTTTTGCCCCTTCTTGGCCCCTAATTTCTAAAATTTTAGGCAATTACCCCCAAAATCAATCCCAGTCTTCCCTTTGTGGTATGGTACCTTGCAGTATAATTTCAGAGATATCCATACACTTGAACACAAGTTATTGTCTGGAAACTAGAAAAATGCTTATTTTTGGCCCCCTTTTGGCCCCTTATTCTTAAACGTTTTGGGCAATTACACCCAAACTCAATTCCAGATTTCCCTTTGTGATATGGAACCTAGTAGTACAATTTCAGAAAGATCCATAGACTTACACACAAGTTATTGTCATGAAACTAGAAAAATGCTTGTTTTTTGCCCCTTTTTTTTGCCCCTAATTCCTAAAATTTTGAGGCAATTACCCCCAAAATCAATCCAAACATTCCCTTTGTGATATGGAACCTTGTGGTACAATGTCAGAGAGATCCATACACTAACACACAAGTTATGTCTGGAAGTTACAGAAATGCTTATTTTTGGCCCCTAATTCCTTAACTGTTGGTACCATAACCCCCAAAATCAATCCCAACCTTCCTTTTGTGGTATTGAACCTTATGATAAAATTTCATAGAGATCCATTTACTTAAACTAAAGTTAGAGTGCGAAAACCAATGTGTCTTCGGACGACGACGACGACGACTCCGGACGACGACGACGACGACGACGATGACAACGACGACGCCAACGTCATACCAATATACGACCACAAAATTTTTTTGCGGTCGTATAAAAATTAGTTGCAAATGTCTTAACTCAAAAGATCGGGATGAAGCATAAAAAAAGTAACATAAAAATAACACAAAGCACCGACAAAAGAGTACTGACACTTATTGAAGGCTAGTTCAAAGCCAACTACAGCTATAATGAATAAATCGTGTTTTCCGATGTATCAATCAGTACACATCAAACAGTTTAGTATAAACACGTCATAAACAGTCTTAGAAACGCATGACCTTGTGTAATACAGAAATATAAGTAAACAGTAAGACAAGATGTAGGATCATGAATACTCAAAACTGTACATATATCAGGAACCTGATGATCAGTGGTTGTCGTTTGTTGATGTGGTTCAGAAGTGTTTCTCGTTTCTCGTTTTTGTCGAGCCTGCGACTTTTGTCGCAAAAGCGAGACATAGCGATCCTAAATTCCGTCTGCGTCGTCGTCGTCGTCGTCGGCGGCGGCGTTTACAAATATTCACTCTGTGGTTAAAGTTTTTGAAATTTTAATAACTTTCTTAAACTATCCTGGATTTCAACCAAACTTGGACAGAAGCTTGTTTATGATCATAAGATAGTATCCAGAAGTAAATTTTGTAAAAAAAAAATCCTGTTTATCCGTATTCTACTCATAAATGGACTTAGTTTTTCTGCCAGTTAACATAACATTCACTCTGTGGTTAAAGTTTTTCAAATTTTAATAACTTTCTTAAACTATCCTGGATTTGTACCACACTTGGACAGAAGCTTGTTTATGATCAAAAGCTAGTATCTAGAAGTTAAATTTTGTAAAAATTTATTTCCTGTTTTTTCCGTATATTACTTATAAATGGACTTAGTTTTATTCCAGTTAACATTACGTACAGTCTGCAGTTAAAGTTTTTAAAACATTTATTAGATTCATAAACCTTCTTGGATTTTTACCAAACTTGAACAGAACTTCTTACAATCAAAAGATAGTATCTAGAGGAAAATTTTTAATAATTTTTTCCCCATTTTTGTTGAGCCTGCGACTAACAGCAAAAGTAGGCGAGACACTGGGTTCCGCGGAAACCTTACGAATTTTTTATATAGATTAGACCGTTGGTTTTCCTGTTTGAATGGTTCTACACTAATCATTTTACGGGCCCTTTATAGCTTGCTGTTCAGTGTGAGCCAAGGCTCCGTGTTGAAGGCCGTACTTTGACCTATAATGGTTTAGGTTTACAAATTGTGACTTGGATGGAGAGTTGTCTCATTGGCACTCATACCACATCTTCTTATATCTATATATAGCAATATATATTCAGTTATTTTTTCATAAACAAATTCAATGTTAGTACCGATAAACATCATTTAGAGATGTACTACGGTATTTAATAGATTACCTTTGAGGATAAATGTATTCAAAAGATCAATGAGTTTACATTGATCGTGTATACATTTACGTGCTCTATAAACAACATCACCGTAAAAATAAGGGTGTGATAATAAGAATTCTAGGGGTACAGCCAAATTTTCTAACCAAATCTGTATATCTATGAAAGAATTTATTGAAAATTTTAATTTATTTGAAGTAACGAAATCCTGACTTAATAATTTACCAGTTATACACTAAATACGTTCATTGAAATGTTAAACGCAATTACATGTATGGCCATAGCAAACAAGTTTTGAAATATACACACCGTAAGAAAGGGTCATTGGAATATCGCCGTCCAAAAATTGAAAATTAACAATATGAAACATACAAAAAAAAACCGAGACGTCTCCTTCGTCGTTAATTCTTGTATATAGTTTCCTGTGTGACACTGAAATATCAAAATAAAGAAAAGGACAATTTTTGCTGTCTGTATTAGATTGATTTAGAGTAAGTTCCTTTTTGGAAATTTCAGCAGTAAATTGATAAAAATATTGAAAACAAAAATATCATCACCAATTTAATGTAACTTAGACGGATCTTTACTGAGTTTGGCCATAAGCTGTGATTCATAACAATACAGGAACAAATCTGCTATTAAAGGGGAACAATTGGTGCCCATAGAAAGGCCTACAACCTGTCGATAAATTTTATTGCCGAAACGTATATAGATGTTGTCAAGGAGACAATTCACAGCTTTAATCATCTGATCACAGTTCTAGTAAGTGTATCTGGCCTATATAATTCCTTTTTCATTACAAACGAGTGCTTTATTTGAGTTGCACCAAATAAATATGCAGTCAGATTTACAAATGTTCAAAAGGTATCTTTCTTTTTAAACTTTTTGTTTCCTTTGTATGTTACGGCGGTTGTTCTACAAAGACGTGAACTATATATATCAGACGTTTGCACATTTCACGACTGAAATAATATCCAGTCTACTTATTAAAGACTTAAATGCAGTGCAAACATCTGTCTATTAAAAACAAGTCTATATATGATTCCTAACTTTTAAAAGTATGAAATAAATTCAGCTAGGCTATTTCCAACAACTATTTGCTTAATATTTGATCCTGTATCAATCTTATGTATAAATGAAATAATATAAATAAAGCTTTCAACTATGAATAATAAACTCATCATAGATACCAGGATTGAAATTTTGTATTTTCGCCAGACGCGCGTTAAGTATACTTCATACTGTAATTGTTCCTTCTTATTTCATACAGGTATTGGTGTGCCATGGAATACTCCAAGACGTGCCCACAACCTATATCCTACTGCTGATTTATCCTTAGGGGAAACCATTGCTGTTGTTGATCCTTCGGAAGTTAAAACATTGCCGCAAAATACACACGTGTCCGCACTTGGTATGATAACTGGAGTATCGAATACAAAAGTCAGTGGAACCGAATCATTACCTTATTTCCAGACTAACAGCGGAAGGTTTCCTAATGCACGCTTTGAGGAGGTTAGTCGTGGTTTATCAAGTGGAATATCCCATACAGGCAAATCAAACAAACTTGGAGGATTCGAATTACATGGTAATGGCCACATCAGAGATAATTCAAACGATCAGGTGCAGCATGTCACAGGCCAAACTATAACAGAACTGGCAAAGATATTCAAAACCAATGATCAAGGATCAGTAAATAAAAATAAAGCAGATGTCCGACCTGCCAACAAACTTGGTGAAACGTTATTACAGACAATAGCAAAGAAAGTTGTGTCAAAATTAGTTGATAAAATTGTAAATACAATCAACAAGGAGAACCAAGGTTTAACACGATCAGGAAACTCGAAGCAAGGTTTTGCAGATAGACGTGCTGTTAATCAACCATTCCTTCCTGTCGCTCATTCACATGGACCACATGGTGAAGTAATTCCAGTTTCACGTGCAGATCATGTTCATTCGCCCGGTGGACATATTATCCCCCTGGGGAACCACAGGAGTATGTCTTGGCGGCAAAATCCATTTCTTCGACCTAGAATTCAAAGGTATCCAAATGGTTGGATTTAGTGATAAAAATTAAATTAGGGAAAAGATTGTAAATAAAAGTTTCATAAACTATAAAAGTCATATATGCAGTAAAAATCTTCTTTTGTCGGATTTTTTTAACTTCTATGCAAGTTGGAAAAGCATGTTGGAAACCCGTTTCCTGAATAATGATCCCAGGACCATCCATATAAAATGTCCTTATATGGATATTAGAAGGGCGTATCTTTCATGGAGACAACCGAGGCAACTGTAGTTTGCTCCTTCCTATTTCATGCGGGTATTGGTTTGAAAAATTAAGGTATTCGGAACACTATTAGCTACGAAGTTGACAAAAATAAAAATATGATTTTTTTCAAACATTTATAAAAGAGGAATTGTAAAATATTATTTCGCTATTAGAAGTCAGTTTTGGTTCAATTCTGTCAAACTAAAGTAAAAAAAAACATTAGATGATGTATTATTGGCTTGCAATTCAATAATTCAACTCATTTGAATCCGTATTCATGCGAACTTCAATTTAATCCTTAACTGGGATGGACTATGCTTGGGCTAAGCATGTTTGGTTATTAAAAAGTAAAGAATGCCAACATCGAAAAGTGAAAGAAAGACGGCCACCGGTTTGGTCCCATTCGTTCACTGATTCTGTCCACAGAAAATCAATCAAATACAGGTTAAACGATGATTTACATATTTGTTAAATCTATGACACGAAATCAAACAGACCTAGAAAAATCGTCGTTATACGATTGCACGTGCTTGCCTATGTATTTATATTTATGGTAACATCAGTGCATAACGGAATTCATCGGAGACCATCTCGATGGTTAATTAGATGGCGTCTTTTCTAAAATACACACTCGTTGATACATTACAAGTTGGGAATGCTATAAGCTCCAGTGAGCTTGGATATCACCTGGAACCGTGGGGAGTATTAAGACCTAGTTTAATTGCTGTTTTTTCTGTTTATGGAACGACCATTTAACTTCAAGGAGGGGTTATGGTTTTTTTCTAAAAAAATATTCTGATCCCCAATTTGACGAAAAAAATATTCTGGTCAAGCAGATGACAAAAAGAAATATTCTGAATCCAGATTTTCCCCATACCTTATAATATTAGATATTGAAAAAAATAATTTGATTGATAGCGTTGAAAAACTAAATAAAATTGACCACGCTTTGCGCGAAAAAATATTTCTGACTCAGACAAAAAAACATACACCCCCCCCCCCACCCCCCCCTTTGAAGTTAAATGGTTGCTCCCTTACAGTTTCATATATATCTTAAACATTACATAATAGCCAAAACGGGGACTAACTGTTCCTATTTGTAGCCGATTAAAGATAAGTAAAAATAGGTAAAACAAATGTTATCCAATGACAATAACTCCTATAGGAACTCAATATGTCTTCTTGGACAGTTTTGCGATTAAAGTTTCTCTTTTCTATAATTGATATTGTGTTACCTGGGCCCGTATGCATAAAACATCTTAACTTAAGTGTTCCTTAAACTTAGATTTTACTAAGAATTTCCTTAGTTAAGTCAAATTCTTAAGTCTTCACTTTAAAACTAAGGAATACTTAAATCGGAACATTTTCTAATTACCGTATGATATATGTTAGCTCATCGCATGAACTCATCCGTGCAAAAGTTTGTTTTGATTATTTACATTGATTTAACAATACACACTTTTATTTATAACTGGTGTTAAATTGATGTTTGTGTGTAAAACAATGAAAATATACATAACCAACTACAATGTCCGAACAAATGCCAAATTGGTGCATAAGAGAAGGTTGTTTTGATGGATGAGCATAGGGAGAAAAAAAATATTTGTAATGCAAAACTCCCCCTACTGTTGCTACAGGAGAAATGAAAGGGACTTGGGAGGAAATTGATTGATTTATTGATTTTGTTTAACGTCAAGTGGCAAATATTTCATGCATGTTCAGGTCGAGATCAAATTTTAAACAATAAATACAATAGGTAGATCCGGTAATAGAGGCTGTACGTATGAAGGTCTGGGAAATTTAGACTGCCACTGGAACATGAAGGTTTATTGGATTGGGATGGAAATGTTGCCTAGCAACAGGCCATCTACGGACCACCTCCCCCCAAAGAGATGTTGCATGGGTTTTTAACGTGCAGAGAGCATGGTACATTCTATATACGAGGCATCTAGTTAACGTCCTGATTCTGACCAGACATGGTTATACATTCCACACAGCCAATTTAATATAGCAATAAACAAACGAAATATTACTGATATAAAGTTATGAATCAATTAAAAGGTGGATTATCTATCCATGTTCTGCAAAAACACATACTTTCGATTGATTTTATCTATTTTTGAAAATTTAAGGTAGCTCTATAGGTACCTTATACTTAAATGTAATCTTAGGGATTTTCTTAGTTTAAGGAGGTTTATGCATACCAGTTAAGTTTTGTGGGTGTGACTTAAACAAACTAAGATTTTACTAAGTAAATACTTAGTTTAAGATTTTTTTGATGCATGCCACTTAGGTAAAAAGGGCGGAGTTTCCTTAACTTAAGTGTTTACTAAGAAAAATCTTAACTTCAGTATCTTTATGCATACGAGCCCTGCATTTCGGATTTTCAAAAGTTTCTGTGTATTTACAATAATTTGCAAAATACAAGATACAGTCAATACGCTTCAATAAGTAAAAGTGGGGATTAGGAAATATGCCTCCTACAGGATGTCTGTAGTTCTTGTTATATGCTGATATTTTTTGCTGTTCAAAGTATTTAGATAACTATCAGAGTTGCTAAATAGTAGAAAAAATATCTGAATATGGATTTAAATCTTAATTTTGTGGGTAAGAACTCAGAAAAGGACGATTTCAGTCTTAATTACTAATTTTTTAAATCTTGTCTGAATATTTTTATCTATACAGTTTCTGTTGATCTATGATAGTTTTCTAGATAGTAATTTAAAACGAAAAACGAATAAAAATTGTTATTCAAGGACAATGATAACCCAAATAAGGAGTATTTTGATTGTCACAGTAATGTGACCTTTTAGGGCTACATGTCTTACTTGTAACTTTTTCTCGTTACATTTTCTGTCTATCTATTACAGTTTTCTAGAAAATAGCCTAAAACGCAAAAATTGGGAAAACAATCGTTATTTTGAATTACTACTATAGAAAGGAGTCTATTGAACTTTTAAGGCAATGGATTTATTTATAGATCTTTTAATGCTGATCATTTCAGTCTATTATTCTAATATTCAAGATAGGAGTTACAAAACTATTTCTTTCTTTCATGGGAAATACCTCCTGACCTTCAAGGAAGATCTGATGAGTTCAGTCACATTGACTAATCTGCAGATCTTGTCTTTTATTGCTGGTTTACATTTTCTAACTATCTACTAGTATGATAATTTTAACGACTATAGGCAAAACAACTAAAACTTGAAAATAAACTCTTCCTATTCAAGGAAAATAATTCATATAGGAGTCGATTGACGAATTTAAATTAATTGACTTGTCTTTAGCTCTCGAAATACTGTTAGATAATAGCTTGCTCGTCTTTAGATCTCGGAATGCTGTTAGATAATAGCTTGCTTGTCTTTAGATCTCGAAATGCTGTTAGATAATAGCTTGCTTGTCTTTAGATCTCGGAATGCTGTAAGATAATAGCTTGCTTGTCTTTAGATCTCGAAATGCTGTTAGATAATAGCTTGCTTGTCTTAATCTCCCGAAATGCTGTTAGATAGTAGCTTGCTTGTCTTTAGATCTGGAAATGCTGTTAGATAATAGCTTGCTTGTCTTTAGCTCCCGAAATGCTGTTAGATGATAGCTTGCTTGTCTTTAGCTCCCGAAATGCTTTTCCGAAATGCTGTTAGATAATAGCTTGCTTGTCTTTAGTTCTCGAAATGCTGTTAGATAATAGCTTGCTTGTCTTTAGCTCCCGAAATGCTGTTAGATAATAGCTTGCTTGTCTTTAGTTTTCGAAATGCTGTTAGATAATAGCTTGCTTGTCTTTAGCTCCCGAAATGCTGTTAGATAATAGCTTGCTTGTCTTTAGCTCCCGAAATGCTGTTAGATAATAGCTTGCTTGTCTTTAGATCTCGAAATGCTGTTAGATAATAGCTTGCTTGTCTTTAGATCTCGAAATGCTGTTAGAATTATAGCTTGCTTGTCTTTAGATCTCGAAATGCTGTTAGATAATAGCTTGCTTGTCTTTAGATCTCGAAATGCTGTTAGATAATAGCTTGCTTGTCTTTAGATCTCGAAATGCTGTTAGATAATAGCTTGCTTGTCTTTAGATCTCGAAATGCTGTAAGATAATAGCTTGCGTGTCTTTAGCTCCCGGAATGCTGTTAGATAATAGTTTTCTTGTCTTTAGCTCCCGAAATGCTATTAGATAATAGCTTGCTTGTCTTTAGATCTCGAAATGCTATTAGATAATAGCTTGCTTGTCTTTAGATCTCGAAATGCTGTTAGATAATAGCTTGCTTGTCTTTAGATCTCGGAATGCTGTTAGATAATAGCTTGCTTGTCTTTAGATCTTGGAATGCTGTTAGATAATAGCTTGTAACGAAAGAAATGGTTAAACATCGTCATTCAATCTAGAAACTGCTATTAGGAATCAATGTATGGTTTCAGGCGCTTTATCTTTCCACTCGTCAATCAAGTCAGTGTTACTAATCCCAAAGCGAGATTCAGGACTTGGGGGCTAGGGGTGCTATATCTTTCCACTCGTCATTCAAGTCAGTGGACTTGAGGCTAGGGGCGCTTTATCTTTCCACTCGTCAATCAAGTCAGTGTTACTAATCCCAAAGCGAGATTCAGGACTTTGGGGGCTAGGGGTGCTATATCTTTCCACTCGTCATTCAAGTCAGTGGACTTGAGGCTAGGGGCGCTTTATCTTTCCACTCGTCAATCAAGTCAGTGTTACTAATCCCAAAGCGAGATTCAGGACTTGGGGGCTAGGGTGCTATATCTTTCCACTCGTCATTCAAGTCAGTGGACTTGAGGCTAGGGGCGCTTTATCTTTCCACTCGTCAATCAAGTCAGCGTTACTAATCCCAAAGCGAGATTCAGGACTTGGGGGCTAGGGGTGCTATATCTTTCCACTCGTCATTCAAGTCAGTGGACTTGAGGCTAGGGGCGCTTAATCTTTCCACTCGTCAATCAAGTCAGTGTTACTAATCCCAAAGCGAGATTCAGGACTTGGGGGGCTAGGGGTGCTATATCTTTCCACTCGTCATTCAAGTCAGTGGACTTGAGGCTAGGGGCG